TATCTATTATCCGCCTTTTACATCTGCAATTAGAAGAATTAGTCAACGAAAACGTCATCGCACAAGTTTTATAATTAAATTCACAAGCAAAGACATGCAAGCGAGATTAAATCAAAGCAATCACAAAGCAATTCCTTCTGATTATTATTCATCGAAGAATATAGGAATATATTTATCTCTTTAATTCAACTTGCACAAACATCGTAATCTATGAGGGTACTTTACAGCAAAAAAAAAAAACGCTTCAAAACATTTTTAAAATTATCTTTCTAATCGATATTATGAATACATTATACTTCCGACAAAACATTTTTTAAATGTATAATAATTGCAACCAAAACAAATTAAACAGATAAAAATAGCTTAATTATTGTTAATTATTCGAAAAAAAAATGAAAATAATAACTCAAGTGTCAAACAAATAAGAATTCCAAAATATCGAAATTTTTTTTCGAGGTATCGACACACGGTCCTTCATTATTCGATAGTTGTCAAGTAAATATCGAATACAAAGCAACGAACGAAAAACGTTGCATAATCATCGACAAAACGGACATTTATCGACGTCAAGAGACATCGTTAATTTGTGTCGCATAATAAGGCGTGTGCGCGCGAGATAAACGCCTCGATCGCTTTTAAATATTTTTATCAATGACGCGCCTTATCTCTTCGGATGTTACAGCTTGAAAGTTTAGCAAGGCCGAATATCGAGGTATAATAATTGTTTAAACATGTTGCGCCAATATTTAGCGTAAAATGTCTCGTCAACGTGATCTTTTTAGAGGATAAGAAATAGTAGTAGGTGAAGTTAAAAATACTTTTGACGCGGTACGATGAACGATAAGTGGTTGGAAAAATTGATCTTGTCTAAAAAAAAAAAAAAAAAACATTTCAAAAATTTTATTTATTAAAAGGATTATTAAAAATTATTATTTTATACTATTAAAAATATATCACACATACGATTAAAGTTAAAATATTAGAATACTTGTTTTTATATTTATTATACATAAAAAATGAAATTTTCCTCTCTTAATATTGAATTAAAATTCTTCGATACTTCTTTTTTTTTTTTTATATATAAATGCTTAGAATATTTGTAAAATACGTACAAGTATTCTATTAAGAAAATGATTAAATACAATTCTATTTTTACCTGTATAGAAACTAATATTAATAATAAATAAACTAAAAATTACTTACACGTTTTTATTAATTGCAAAAATAGAAAATCTGAAATCAATTAATTTTTAATTTAATAATTTTTTTCAGTTTAATAATTTTAATAAGTATTATTAAAAATAGATTCTAGCAAATTCTTAGGTATCATTTTTTTTGTTTTTTTGGAAGATCGATATTGTTATCTCATCGATGATATAATTTTCGATATCAAAACGACGTAAACAGTTAATGTTTATTTTTTATATTCTGGAATGATTGAAGATAAGAAAAAAGGATTAATCTAAATAACTGAATGATCGAGACAACAAATAAACTTGTTAGAAATTAAGGAATTTATTTTGTAAAAGCGATTCTTGAGTTTTCTTTGAAAAAATTAAATTCCAGAATCAATCAAGAAAACCATTTCATTTGGTTTTTTTTTGGCAACAAAGGAAATATACAGTCAACAATTTGGAATCAATTCTATGTTCTATGGAATTTGGAAAAAGAAAAAATTACGTTTTAAAGTTAAAAAAATCATAGCAATAAAGAAAATGATTTTACCACGACATTCTATTTTTCCAATTCATTAGCATTTAATTAATGTAAAACAATTCTGAAAAAATTTATCGGTATATACTTTCAAACAACAATAATTTTTATAATTTTAATAACAAAAATTATCGAAAGATTAAGATACACGCCTGACAGGAAAAAAAACAAATTTTCGATCGATACTTTCATAAATAGATTAAATATTATATCTTTCTCTTTCGATTAAACAATTATCTTAATCATTATCACGAAAAGTTGATTACACAAAAATATTCAGATTTTTCGCATTTTACGATCGGTTAGATGTAATGATCGCAGATCCACGATACGTGGTGATACGTAATCCCCTGTATCCGCAGCCAGTAAAATCGTATTTACAAGGATTTAGACGGCCGGTCTTCTCAGAAGATCCTATTTGCACGGTTTGCTATCACGTTCTGTTCACGAACCAAGTGCAATTAATGACTCTATGTCATGTTTCTATATTATCGCAACACAACTTGCCATTTATATTATTTCATCAATAAAATTTGATAAATAAGTCTGATAAAGATCGGCAATAAACCAATATCTTGTAGCGATTTAAGCAAAGATGATGATGTTGATGTTGTCTAAGGATTTTTGACAAAAGGAATTTTCAAACAAAGAAATTGTATCGTTAAACAAATTTACACTACTCCGTGAAACTATCGTTTTCGGATTTTTTGTCTTTTTTCATTTGTTCTTCTCTCTTTTTGTCCCTTTGCACACAAGTGGAATGATTACGTCTTTGGTCAGACAGATTGGTTGAAATGTTTTTCAACACGTAAACACGTTATTTTCTTTCTTCATTTTACACGTGATGATTTATTGACAAATTATTAACGACGATATTTTTGTATGCTCGAGGCAAACAATGTCACTTGATTAATTTAATAAAAATTAAAGCTGTCTGATGGTGATTAATCGGTCGAAAAGGCTTGTAATGTATTCTTAGAAATGTTTGCAGTAAGAAATATACTTTCTTTTCCTCGTTTTGCAAGACATTACCGACGAATTATTGTTATTTGAAAACGTTTTCGTGACGCAAGACGAAAATACATTTGTCGAATTGAAGAAATTTTCCAATGATCATTTTTTTTATTAACGATGTTATAATGAAAAAAAAATGGGGGAAATTGTTTAATTCTTCTTTCTCGAAAGATCGTGATAAAGTTCAAGATTGAAACAATCAATGCAACTTGAATCAAAGTAAACAAACATTTTTTTTCCTCGATAAAATTATAATAAAAACTTGCAGCACTTTGATCATCATGAATGAATATTGCGGACGAAGAAATTTTTCTCTCGATAAAAAAAATTGCAATTGTAGCGCAATTATTGCGAATTAAATAATAATATTTCATAGAACGAAGAGATAAAATTCAAATGTGGATCTTTTTTCTTATTCTAGATAATTTGTTGATTAAATTAAAACTTCCATTAAATCTAACGATAATTTTCTATCGTTGGTATTATTGTTATCTTCTAGTAATGTTATCTTTATAAGTGAACTTTCTTTTTACGTATCATTACGTGATATTGTTAACGTTTAATGTCTCAATGTAGAAGTTATCTATGAAAGTTTAAAATTATTAAAAATATAAAAGCAGTTTTGCATTGTGTAATTGTGTAGAATATAATCGTTTGAATTTTAATAACGTTGTTCATGATGATCTTTCGTTCAAAGTGAATTAATGTAAGATTAAAAAGATCGTCTGAATGAATCAAATAGCAAGTGCAAAAGCAATAGGTTAGTACTTTTAATTAGGAAATGTTTAGATTGTAAATTAGATTAAAATTATGAAAATATTTTTTAGTATTCTATCAATATCTTAATCGTATTAGGAATTTTAATCACGATTGATATCTCTAGTATCTTTAGGATCATCTATCAGTATTTTTGTCGAAAACATTTTTTTTATTGGATAAATATATTATATGATTAAATTTTTATTGAAAATAAGTGATCCTACATTATAATTATACTTGATTTTAATCTACTTTTTATTATTATAAAAATAAATATATAAAATAAAAATAAAGAATAAATTAATTTCATATATGTATATATACATGGAAAAATTAAATCGATATTTGTTAACTCTTTTTTATCGAAAAAATTACATCTTATTTTCAATTGTAGAAAATTCATTAGAGACTTAATGAATACTTATTTAACTTTGCTCTTTTCCATATTTATAAGTCTCTTTTGATTTTTCAAATAAAAGGTCTATGTCATGTTAAAATCCAAACGAGCATTAGCATGAAACTGAAGCAGGTCTTTTCCATTCTTTCTAAAAGATATTATTGCTTTCAACAATTTTTTCTTTCTTGCAAATCCGTGTTTATATGCATCTTTCTCTCTACTTTTTTATCGTATTAAAAATTTTCACAAATCTATATAAATATCCATAATCTATTGATTAAAAAATTAAACTAAAACCAAATGATGGAGCTCGAATTTTATAAAAATAAATTTTTATATAAAGTCAATGGAAATGAATAACTTATTACAGTAATTAATCTTCTATCTAACCATCTAATGATCCCTATTTATTTAAAAGAAACAAATTCAAATTTGAATTAAACAAAGATTCAACAAAATTTCAACAAAACAACAAGTTTTCAAGGTACAGAATTATGCCAAACTTCCTCCACCTAATCTTCATCCCCATCCATCCCCATAACTGATCCAAAATAAACAAAATTCTATTCATATCTTCAACTTTTACTAATTCCAAATATATATATAAATTTCTCTTTCATCTTTCAACCCTATCCTTATCATCCCTATCCAAAACTAACCCAACCCAAAGAACTTCCTTCTTATAACTCGACTTCAAAAAAAAGAGAATCTCTTCTTCCAAATCGATCGATCAAATATCGAAGAAGAAGAAGGAAAAAATAGGGAAGTCCTGTTATCTCGCCACGGCTGATCGCCAATCTCGGGCCATCGGAAATCTCGCGCAGAAGCAATGGATCGAGCCACGTTCTGCCGATGCGCGGGAGCTCGCTATCAAAACGAAGGACGCGTAGGTGGTGCGAGTCGCGATTCTATCCGTCGGATTTAGTTAATGTCCAGCGCTCCGCCGACTCGGATGTCGCACTGGCTCTGAAAAAACATAGCCATGACACACGCATTCTGACTCCGCCTCGAACAACCGACACACAGCTCGATCACTTTTCCTTCATCTTCGCGCGTTCGCGTGCGAAACAACCAGCCTCGTAATAAAACTCGTAGTACGTGTAAAATTTTCAACACATCCACATCGACTGATCGATAACACAGACACAGAGAGAGAGAGAGAGAGAGGAAGGGAGGGAAGGAGGGAAAAATCTCTGGACCGCTTTCCCATATTGCGCTTCGAGAACTAGTTGTGCTTCGATCATTTTTTCGCCTATTCCATCATCGAGTTCTCGATCATCCATTTTCGATGATCGATCTTTTCTTCCCTCTTTCTCTCTTTCTTCGAAAAATTCGCTCAAAGGATAATAAGGAAACTGCTCGATTTCGATCGGGAGTAGTAGATTTGATTTTATTATTTTTCTTTTTCTTTTTATTCTTTTGTTCGTTTGAAAATTTTCTTTCTCTCTCTCTCTCTCTCTCTCTTTCTCGCTCGCTCGAGGTTTGTTTTATCGTTTTCGCAAGCCGTGTGACTAATCGCGAAAAAATTAAAACACCGAGGCGAACGATATCGACGTTTAAGCGGCCGGCGTAGAAGCAAAAGTTGCGTAGGTCCACGTGGACTCGGCCCGTGTCCGTCTCTCTCGTGTATCTTCTTTCGAGTGATTCGTGTGCGTTTATTCTGATTTCATTCTGTCTGTCGATTTGTTGAAGGTGAGAAATTTGATAAGGTGGAAGAAACGGGGAGGAAAGGTAGAAACGTAACTTTATGAGACGCGTTGAAAGGAGGCGCGTTCTCGTGAGACGATTGTCTCTCGTTCGTCGATCGGTGGATCCGAGAGATCGTCGCGTGTCAGGTAAGTAAGATTTTTGACTCCTTCGATTCCGGTTCAGAGATCATTGTTCTCGTGTATAATAATTTTTTTCAATCAAAATGAAATGAACAAGTGGTAAACGAATTATGGAAAATGACGACGTTTAAAACGATAATTTCAATGTTCACGGTTAATGCGTTTGACTGGTTTTACAATGCGATTTGACTCGGAATAGATAAAGTTGAAAATAGCTCGAGTTTAAACGCGAGAATCATATATTAAAAGGAAATAGTAAAAAAATTTACACAATGGTTAAATTATGGACACGATGATTTATTGCAATATTAGATTGAGTAGCTTTTTCGAAAAAGGGAGAATGGGGAATTGTATAAATTGAGTTTAAAAGCTTTAACTTATATTTGAAATATAATTAAGAAGATAAAAATGATTCGATGATAAATATCGCTATAATGCAGTATAATCCTTTCGTGGAACGTGTTGAAGAGTTCTAGAAATCAAAACAAACGCAAAAGTTTGTGTACAAAAATATCGATTGAGAATTATTTATTATGCTATAAGAAGTTCAAATTTCCTATTGGTGAAACAAGATAGTGTAAGATGGCTCTTTGTCACATCTTGCTTTATCTATTAATAAAATAAAATCTCAATCAAAATTTCTGTTTGTTTTTATCTCTTTCGTAGAATCAATTCTCTTCTATCCAATATAAAGGATTTAAAAAATGAGATCGATGAGGTATATGGAATAGAATTTAGAAGTTGGAATTTAAAGTTTTGTGGAAAAAATTTTCTTCGTAGAGCTGTTCAATTTTTAAAATACGAAGGTAAAGAACGAAACGTTTCTTAAAGAGAGAGTAAATGAAGAAAAATTTTGCGATATAAAGGGGAATTCAATCTCAAATCGATCATTCCATTTTTAAAAGACAAACATAAAAATCTTGCCGCGTGTTTATTTTATATATCACGAGCAACCTTCGGAGCATTGATTACAACGTTTGAATCAATGTCTCCAATTGTATCCGAGCGGATACGAAGTGAGCGATAAAAGGAGGAAGAAGGGGTGAATGAATGAAAAAAAATCTTCGAAACAAAGCTGTTTCCTCGATTCACGAGGAAAAAGAAAAAAAGTATTTAATGACCGATTAGTGGCGCTCGCGACACATATTTTGAAACGATATAAAATCAAGGCTTTTCTCTTGATAACCGATTCAATCGGAGCAAGATAAATCCGATTTAAAAGAAACGGTGAAAATTTTTCTTCTATTGCAGAATAGTATACAAATTGTAGAGATTTCGTTTAATTAAATAGAGAGAAAATTCCATACGTGTTATCGTGTACTATCAATCCCTTAAATAAATAGATATAAAAATCCTTAAATTTTTAACGAGCCGTTGCTACGAGCCGTAAATGATTAAAAATGGCGAAAATCACAATTTTTTACGACCTACAACAGCAATAAATTTTTATAACTTTCGATACTTGTACAGCTTTTTTACGCGTCAACCGATTTTCATGAAATTTTCTACACGCGTACAATTTATTTAGATCTACAAAATTATTTTCAGACAGGAGATTGTAACTTATAAATTATTTCTATTTGTAATATTATTGTCCTCCAAGTAACTATTCCATTGAATTTTTTTATCGATTGATACGTAACTCTGTTAAATTCCTTTCTTCTTAATCATTCATCGAATAATTTTATCAACGAAGAGAATTGATACGAAGTTCGAAACGTTAATACAATTTGCATTCAAGTTGATGGGATTTTGTCGTAAATTCAAATCGAAATTTGCAATTCTGTCCAAGTAGGGGAGAATCTACGTGTAGATGGCCGGCACGGTAAATGGTTCCTATATAATATATGATCCTTGACCTTAAAACCCAGAATTCCGGAACTCACGATCGACCTTCCATCGACTTCCTATAAAAATGGCCTCGTTAAGTCGAGTTCGTCAAAGTGCTGGTTTAAAAGCTTCGCTTATCGACGTACTAGAGTAATTACGCGTACTAGAGTAATTACCTTCATTTATTTTTTTTTATTTTTTTAATGAATTAAATTTTTCGAGTTTCGAACATTTGTAAAATATTATCGTACATTTAATACCGAGATTTATGCCTCGCGATGAACGTTTAAATATCGATTGTCCTGTCCCAGTTAGAAAGTTTTTTTTTTTTATTCATCTTGAATTATATATTTCCTCTTTGATGTTTAATTTAATTTTTGAGAATACGAATTTACATTGGATTTGTTAAAACACTGGAGATATATATATATATATATATATATATATATATACTCGAGAATATTTTGGGTTTTAAATATTCAAAAGTTTAAATAAAGTTTAATTCCAGAAGAATCCTGTGATTTCTTTCCGAATCTTTATGAATTTCAAAAAAAAGTTTAAATTTCGCAGATATTTTTAAATATTCCAAAGAGAAAAATAAATTGAAGAATCCTTAAATATTTACAAATTTTTATTTTAAAACATTTAAATACTTCGAGGTTCAGATTTTCAGAATTTGTAATTCTTCTTCTTCTTCTTTTTCTTCTTGTGTGATATTGCATTTGTATGCATTATGTTAAACGCTTATGTCATATACATGACATACAATCGTTCGATCGTTATTATTCGTCGAAGCTGTTTTTTCATTCATTATTAAAAGATTTTAATTAAGACAAAGTTGTGCGATTCACAAGGTCGCTGGATAATAATTATCTTTAAAAATTCTTCAGAATAAAATTGTTCTTATTTCAAATCCTTTTTTAAACAAATTAATCTTGCAATTGTTCTCGAATTTTTATGTCTTATAATTTTCTTCTTAATTTTCAACAAAAAAATTTTTAATGTATTTTAAAAAAAAAACTTTAATAATGATAACATTGAATAAACAAGCATAAATAAATTAAATATATGTATATTATAATGATATTACATTTATATATGATTCTCTACAGATATTTCTATATTTCTTTATAGCTGATTCTATGGAAATGTTCTTTCTTTCTGTCGAAACAAGAGTAAGTTATAAGTGAATTTAGGATCGATAAAATTGAGATTGAAGGAAATTTAACGATAAATTAAATTTAACAGTACTTCGATTTACAAAGACTCCGATTCAAAGATTGTTGGATAATTGAAAAATCGAGGCAAGAGAAAATTTAGATAAAAGAATTTTTATATAATATTTCGAAAGTTTAAATTGTAGGATATGCTTAAAATTTATATTGTTTAAATTTTTGAAGATTTAGATAAGTGAAAATATAAATTTAAAAATTTTATTATATTGAAATATTTCGAGATTTTAATTTTAATGATTTTCTAAGTTTTCGAAAACTATGATATTAAATTTTTTAAATTCTTCCTAATTCTCAAAACTTAACTATTAAAATTCTTTAAGTATGTTTACATATTCGAAAATATAGATTTCAAGATTTTTAAAAATTCGAAAACTTTCTTGGGGATCTAAGCACAGAGTAAATCTAAATCTAAATTAAACACAGTAAAAATAATTGAAATTTATAAGTTTCTCATAATTCTCTTGAATCTTAATATTAAAGGCATTTCGACATGGAAGAATAATGCCAATAATTATAATTTATCAACAAAAAAACATACATGTTTATACGATGATAATTGAAATCACTCGGGAATAAAAAAAAAATTCATGTTTTTCAACACAACAATTTGATAATTACTCATCAAAACTCGCAGACCATCTCTTGGAAATCAAATAAATAATTCATTTAAAAGTATTTAATTATTGAGCAATGATAACTTATTTTCCAATGATATTGTAACGATGTAAAAAAATTCACATTTACTCCAATGTAATAAATCTTACATTAAATTAAATTACATTTTATTAATTTAAAATGCCGAAATGATATGAGTATTATGAGTTTCTTTAAAAAATTAATTTTTGCCCGTTTTATATCTCCTTGAAATTTATTTAATATTAATTCGCAAAATAATAAGTGTGTCATTTATGATATCAAGTATAATAACACTCCCAACCCCTACAACCCTAACTCAACATCCGTGCTCAAGTGGACAATATTATAATTATGATGCTGCCATTTTGTTCCATTATACGAATAGATTTAGTCTTCCCTTCGATGAAAAGGGTCCAAGATAGAATCGTTATGCGACCTAAACAATCATGATTATATGCACCCTTTGCACTCTAAGTATTACTTATTTCATTGTATCATTTTTTTTCTTGATTAGTCAATGTTTTTGAGCGAGAAATGCTTATATGCAATCGTTACAATGCTCGATTATAATTTTAAGCTGTACAATGGAAAATTGGAAGGAAAGGAAATGTCAACAATCAGGACTTATCTTGACAAGAATGCTGAAAGGGTTATCGTATATTGTTTTTCCAACATGTTAATCCGAAAAATCTATTATTCAGGCATCCTATTAAATCTCGAGTGTCCTGTTCGCCACTAATTGGCACTTCAGAGAAGTCTCGTGAAATTATTAAGCTTTTCTCGCGGCTAGATTTAACAAGAAAAGTAGTAGAGTTCTCTCGTTGTGTCTCTAATAAAAATTTCGATGCTTGTTTTTTTTTCGATCTTTTGCAGAAATTCAGCTCGATCGAAAACAAAGTACTTGAAAACAACGAGTACTTGAGAAAATTATTTGGAGATTGAGAAGAAAATAGAGATACAAAAGAAGTATTGGAAGTAGATTCAGTGAAAAGTCGGTATAAAGCGTTGACTGACTTTTTGCGTGGATTATGGAAGAAGGGCTGGATACAAAAATGATGAAAAACTCGGCGGATTATATAAAAGCCATGGAGAGCAACGTGCAATCAAATCAGGTGACTAGAATGTCTATGAAATGGGAGCCGATTTAAAACTTGTAATCTTATGTAATAAATCTTCAATAAATAAACAGAGTTTTCACTGTTTTGCTCATGAATATTTTTTATTAAAGTTGAAAGTTTTTTTTAATAAGGATATGTGAATTTGAGAATGTTCAAATATTGACAAAAAATTTTTGATTTGGTAGAATATATCAAAGTTTATGGAAATTTAAGTTTAAAAAAAATTGCATAGGAAATTTTAATATTAACTATTAAGGAAATTAGGTTTAAAGGATTGTAAATATTAGAGAAATTAATTGCGATGAAAGCAAACTTAAAATAATCTAAATAAAAAGGATAATAAATCCTTAAAGAATTTTCCAAGGATTTATTTCCAAAGCATTTAAAATTAAGAAGATTTTACAAATACAATTACAATAAAATAGAGGATGTGAAAATGACCCAGATATCTTGATGACTTTCAAAGGAGGAGGATTTAGATATAAAAGAATTTAATAGAAATCCTATTAAAGGATTCAAAATTTATAATCAAATTTAAAGATTCAAAATACTATCTTAGCAAAATTTAATTAAACTCGATGAAAATTTACTATTGTTAAAATTTATATTTAAACAAAATTTTCTAATTTGGAAAATAATTCTCTCACAGGTGATCGAGACGAAAGTGTACAAACGACGATGGCTGATTCTAATAATCTTCGTGCTGTACAGCGCCAGCAACTCGATGCAATGGATTCAATACAGCATCATTGCAAATATCATAACATCATACTACAATGTATCCACTTTTTCAGTGGATATGACCAGCATGATATACATGATAACTTATATTCCTTTCATCTTTCCAGCAAGTTATTTACTCGATAGATTCGTAAGTATGGTTGTTAAATTTATTATTAAGTTTATTTGATTGCTTTTTATATTTTTCTGTCTGCAAAAATAATTCTTCTTATCCGTATTGCAATTAATTTTTCCTTATCCATTGAAACTAATCAATTTTATTGAGAATATCTATCTCGAGAAATGTTACATTATGGATTGGCACTGCATAAAAGATAAGAGAATCATAGAAAAAATTATTATATCGAAACATATCATAAGATTAACAGATCAATTCTTCTAATTCTTCTCTCGATACGTATCTTAATCCTGAACCTTGATCTTGAAAACACTTAATGTAGACACTTTATCAAATTATTATCTTTATTTTCTTTTCTTCTTGAACGATATTGAAAGATATTCAAGAAAAAAGAAAATCTTGACTCCATATCTAAACAAATTACTTTGAAGATTAATGGATCATAAAAAAATATTATAGATTTGTATATCTAATAATAAGATTTCTGATATTTCGAAGTACGAAGAAAAGATAAGAGTTTACCATTTCTTTATAAAAGAAAAAATTTTTCTTTTTTCAGAAAATAAGTTTTTTTTCAGAATTCATTCCATTATTTTTCACGTAATCATCGATTTCAGGGCCTCAGGTTTGCCGTTTTGACAGGTGCGATCGGAACGATGGCCGGCTCTTGGATAAAAGTGTTTAGCGTAAGTCCAGATCGGTTCTGGATTACCTTCATCGGTCAAACATTCGTTGCTGTGAGCCAAACGTTCATCTTATCGGTTCCAGCTCGTTTGGCCGCTGTTTGGTTCGATTTAAATCAAGTCAGCAGCGCATGCAGCATCGGCGTTTTTGGAAATCAGGTTAGTAGATGTAAATTTTTTAATTAACTTTATATTGTTTATAATCATACATACATATAAGTTGTACACATAAAATTATACGAGAAATAATTTCTGTTTAAAATGTAAAGATAATTTTGTTAATTCTGTTTAAAATGTAAGATATTCATATGAAAATATGTAAAAGATATAGAATCAAATACTTTGATTTCTTGCTTCATTTTTGAAAAAAATTATACTGAAAAAAATAATATTATTTCCATTAATATGTCTCTAATAACATAAGTAAACAAACTTATCTTTTTATACAGAATATTTTACAATATTGTTACAAATAATAAAAAAGAACAAAATATTAGAACGATTTCTTTATAATTTTTCAATCATTAATGTGAAATACTTTAACTCGTTATCGAAAAGATTCCATTAAACAATTTCCAAGCTTTGATGTTTCATGTCCTTTTCGCATGATCACTCAAAATGAACATTCTTTGTAAAATAATTTCGCAAGCTTTGATATTCAATATTCTCTCAGCATAATTCAATCATCGAACATATTCCAATGAGTAAGCATTCGATCCAACTCTTAACAAGTAATTAATTATCTTACTCTTGAACACCTCGTGCAACGTCTCTTTTCTAAACCCCTTTCATTAATTTTCTATTTCCTTTATCCTCACCTCCAAAAGAGTCCTCGTTATAATACCAGATCATTGTCTCAATTATTGTCTCAAAAATCAACGTCCATCAATTACGATCACTTTACTCGAAACAATAGTAATAGAATCACGTGCCAAATTTTCAACTGGATGGAGACCAACAAAGTGAACGTATTCACACGATGTTTGAGTTATGTTACATATATACGATATAGTTGTTAAATAAATGCTCGTAAATGGAGCTCGAGTGCATATTACCTGTGTAGTAAAACTCTAATTCGAGAGACAGGGTCGTTGGAGAATGAAGTAGTGATTAGATGGGAAACAGAATCGTAACGTGCACCCACGTTTCATTTCGCGGCGGTACGAGGGGGATCTGGGACCCCATTCAGCAAATTAAACCTATGTATTTCAAATAGATCACCCCTTCTCGTAGGAAGATAATCTATTCAAGGTGCACTGCCGATCAGATTATTTTATCAACTTTGATATAGATTTTTTTCTGGTCTCGAGTATACAGATATATGGTCCGAGAATCTTTAATTTGAAAAAAATATTATTAATATTTCAATCAAAGAAATTCGATTCTTAGGATATGTGCTTATGTTTTATATATGAGGTACATACCTTTTTTTTTTCTATCCCAAGTATACAGATGTATAACTCGAGAATCTTGAATATTTCATTTGAAGAAGTATTTCTGTTTGATTAGAGGAATTGTATTCTTAGAAGACGTACATCAATCGCTCTTCACATCTGGTGAGGTTTAAATAAAATTTTTATTACAATGCCATTTGCTATGAATAGTTAATAAAGAAATATACGATAGATATCACAAAATTGATATAAATGATCGTTGACCTTGCTGTTTATGACGTGACTGCCAAGTTTGCCGCTCTTCGAGCACAAGCTTTCGAGAGCGGAACTCTTGTCGGGATAGCTCATGATGGGCTGAAAAGAATAATGATCTCTTACTTCCTTGGAATAACAACAATGGACATCGAGCATCTCTCTGGATGATAGTAATTTCACGATGAATTTACGACATTTATACAAATTTCAAACTATAGAAAATAACATGAAATAGAAATTTTCTATTGTATTATTTATCATTTAGAAAAATTTAAAATGATCGTTCTCTAATTTCCAGCTGGGTATAGCAATTGGTTTCCTCTTCCCGCCGATGTTGGTGCAAAACAACGAAGAAATTAATCAAATTGGCCGAGGATTGCATGCGATGTTCTACATAGTTGCTGTTTTTACCACCATTATTTTGGTCCTTATACTTCTATGTACGTATATTAATCATAAGTTCAATATTAAAAAATTCTCTAAACGTCTAAAGAAAACAATAAACTTCCTATATTTTTATATTCTCTAGTTTCAATATTATGTTGGCTTTAATTTGTAATTAATATATTAAAATAATTTATAATAGTATGAAATTATAGCATCTCACTTTCATCATTACGATTTTCAGTCTTCCATATTGAAATAATATTTTCCTCTAGTTTTTAAGTCTAAACCACCACTTCCTCCGAATAAAGCACAAGCTCAAATTCAGAGAGAGAACGAAATACCGAAAAGTTTCTTCATTTCCATGAAGAAACTAATCACAAACGTTGGTTACTTATTACTATTGTTCAGTTATGGCATCAACGTAGGCGTGTTTTATGCCATCAGCACGCTTCTCAATCAGATAATCCTTCAATATTTTCCTGTAAGTTTTTATTTTTAATGTCTATTTTTTTTTTATTTTAAGATTTATATTATTTCTCTATTAAATTTCTATTTATTATCATTATTTATATCGTTGTAATAAAAATTCAGAATCATGAAAAAGACGCTGGAAGAATCGGTTTAACCATCATCTGCGCTGGTATGTTAGGTTCTGTGGTTTGTGGTATTGTGCTCGATAAAACGCGCAAATTCAAGTGAGTAAATCTTCTCAATATAAAAATTAAGTTATATTATGTTTCTTTCATTGATTAATTGTCTTAATTTAAAATTTTTTTATTTGTAGAGAGACAACGGCAGGCGTTTATCTTTTTTCCTTTTTGGGCATGATTATATTCACATTCATTCTAATGTCCACCAGTCAAATATTCACCATTTATATAATAGCTGGCATATTAGGGTAAGAATAATCCATATTTCTTAATTTTCATTAAGAATTCAGAATATTTAATGAAATTCAATTATTATTTTTCTCTTTATTTTATTCTTTAGTCAATATACTTTATAAATCTATTTTATCTACTCTATTTGATACTATATAAATCTAATTTATGAATTCTTCAAAAATATTTATTATTCTCACTTTTAATATTTACAAAAAAATTGTAAAAAACTGAAATTTTCCTCAATAATATTATAAGTTCATAATCTGCATTAATAATTTTATATAATTTATCTATTGCACAAATAAAAATACACTAAGGACATGCCTAAATAATAATAAAAATTTAATTTATTACATGAAATTTTTAATATGATTTTGAATTCTTCTCAAAATATTTTTTCAGATTCTTTATGACTGGCTATCTTCCAGTGGGTTTTGAATTTGCCGCGGAATTGACATATCCGGAACCGGAAGGAACATCCGCTGGTTTACTAAACGCAATGTGCCAAGTATTCGGTATCATCTTTACGATTATCTACGGGTATTTCTTGCAGGTTTGGAGTGATTTCTGGGCGAATATTTTCCTCTGTATTGCGCTAGCTTTTGGTTCGTTTCTCACCATCATCATTCCCAATGATCTTCGAAGACAGAAAGTTTTAAAGAATCCCATGGTCGAAGGTTGAAAGATAGAAAGTTGGAAAATTATCGACTAGTCTTTGTTGTGATCGATGATATTGCGAATGTAGACTTTCCTAAGATGAATATCTTTAAGATAGATGAGAAAAATGAATTATAGGTTGTCCAAAGATAGTTGATTTTGATAAATTGTCAGATAAAATTGCATAGAATTGTCTGTCTCATGTTATCTACTATTGTTACTATCATTATTTTATTCTTTCATATTTTTTCAATATTTTTATATTTTACATTTACATATATAATATTTTTTTTTATTGAATTCAATTCTTAAATAATACTTAAAAATAGATTTCTTAATATATAAAAATATGATGTAATTAGTTTCAAAACTAAGAAGGTTAATATGTCAAATGACAAAATATCAAAATAATATTTCATATGAATACATGTATACTTGAATAATAACAAGAGTAGATAAAGATAAACGAACAATAATTTTGGGCATGGTTCAAGATCTGAAATTATGTTGGAATATTCCATATTATTTTTATTATTTTTTTATTATTTTTGTTTCAAAAGTACTAAATAGAAATTCTAATTTATTTATAAATTATCGAGGTTAATCATTGACTATTTAAAGAATCACTGTCTTACACTTACATTTTAATTTCTATCTTATTATTTCTTCTTCTTTGTGCTGTGATGACACTTCAGTATGAAATAATTCCATTCGCACGTAGACAACATCTGAAACTTTTGTGCATTTCAAAAAAAAAATTAACAACTATAAAGCTATAGATCTAATTTTTATGTAGTTTAAAAAATCAATATGATATGATATTTCGTTTCGTTGTCTACGTAGTTTGAAAAACCAAAATTTCTTTTTATTTCAGCCATCAGTATTATTATCTCTTATGATTCTGATGAACATATTTAACGAACTTTTTCTGAAACGTCAAATAATGCGAATTAAGATGAAAAAATTTCGCATTTTTATGATTGATATACCAAAATAATACCAGTAGTCAATGAAATAGTCAGAAATTTAAATAATATTTCGTGGATAATAGAAATGATAGTATAATAATAATAATTGATACGATTAGATTCTTACAAAAATATTGAGATGCTGCACATTTCAGGATGAAGGAAAGATAGATAAAAATCTATTTATTCTCGTTATTTGTGTAAATTGTGTAAATGTTCCCATTTACAATAGATTTTTAAACTTTGGTCTTCATCATGTACAAACCTATGAAATTGTATTTCTTCGATACGTAATTTTCATAGTTTATCACATTAAATATTAATCACAAGATATCGATCGAATGTCGTAGAATGAAATATTTTTGAAATTTAACTAAAATAATGAAATTTTTTTAAATTTACTTTTACTATAAGTAAATTATAACTTTGCAAAGTTCACAATACACAAGCAAAAAATTGGATGTAAGATAAATTCGATAATTCAGAACCGCGTGAAATATGCGAGCTATCGAAGAAACTCGATTTATGAGATAATCGAGATTCGAGATTAAATTTGCTTGAATCGACCGAGGAAAAACGAATTATCACGAAGGTTAATATAAACGAGCTATCTGAAATTGAGTTTTCTTCTATTTTCTTCTATAATTGAAAGTGAGTTTAAAGATCGTCAGATATTTAATTCTACTTCAGATTGTATCGTCATTGTCTGACTATTCCTAGCTTGAAAAGAAATTTCTTTCGTTTTAAATAACCTCTAACGGACGACAATAATATTGTAGCTACACGTACAAAATGAGTATTAAGAAACAATACTGTAGTTATAATTGTTGTAAATTGTGATCGATAGACTGAAGAATGTTTATGTGTTTAACATTAAAACGTAGAACAAGATTTAAAATGTTAGTATTACTTAGTATTTTTAAATAAATCATATCTTTTATGATATTTCTAGTTTGACAAAAGATTTTCTTCTTTAAGTTATGATTATTAAAATAGTTATGATTATTAAAATTTATATGAACATCTACAGTCTAGTGATCATCGATGTATGTGTACTATTTTTTATAAATATTATCGTGTGTCCATGTATAATTGTGGGGCCATATATAAAAACGAATAAATACGAAAATAGTCGACAATAAATTTATAGTAAGAGTATTAAGGATTCGAAATTAATAGAATAATATAGAAAATTTTGCTTCTATTTTTATAATATTCTTACAATACAAAAGTATTCGAAAAAAAAAATACACATTTTTCTTTCATTTGCATTCTTAGATTTTCGTGTTAAAAATTGTACATATTTTTTTTTTTCTTGTAAAGATGCATTACTATGAAAAAAAAACTATCAGAAAAATAATTTTTGAAAGTGTCAATTAATTGTCACAAAATCTTTTATTCGAAATCACGAAACAAATAAACGAAGTTCAAAAATTTACAGATATAGAGGCACACATATACGAATATATGTATATATTTTGTAAGTTCGATGTGTATATTTTACATGTGTATTTTATTCAACGCCGTCTGTATGTGTAAATTGTTCCGAGCATATCTTTTATAATATTAATAGTTCAAATGTTACGATAATTATCATATCTCGATGTGATTTAAAGACAATATTAAATGTTAACATGTGTTAAGTTTATATTGTTAAATAATTTGCAGGTATACCGATATTTGTGAAAAAGTGTTAAGTGATTTTTAACAGAGCAAATATTTTAAGATAGATCATTCCATGAATAACATGCTTTTATTTGAAAGATGAAAATTAAGCATAGAAACCGGAAACTTGTAATAGAGAAAAAAATACCTGAGGAATCATGGAAGATTATATTGCGATCTCGCCTAATTAATTTTGCTGTATCAGCAATGATTAACTTTTTATGGAAACGAAAATATAATACAGTGCACATACGTCTATATCCAAATGGATATAATTATTTTATTAAATAACTGGAAAATTATTCCAGTACGAATGGATGAATGGTTTTATTCTTTTCTTTCTTTTTATTTGAGTTACATTCCTCCTTTTTATATTATTATTATTATAAAAATCGATTAAAGAATTTTTCTTCTATTAATTGTTTATACAAGAAGAAAAGAATAAAACGATCAAAATCATGTAAAATAATCGTTTTTAATCAATCAAGAATATTTATAATCTTCCATTTTTTTTTTTTAATTTTTGCATTTTCGAATATCGTATTTGTGATTCGTTAGTCATTTTGTAAATAAATTATAGCAACTTAAATGAATTCCTTTAAGTTTTGCTATGAGCTTCATGCGAAAATCATTTTGTGATGCACGTTCTTCCAAAATCGGAAATGAGTGGGACAAATCGAATAAAAAGTATCTGTGATTTTTGACAATATTCGCTATTCGATTGTCATCTGAATATGTAGAATGATAAAAAGTTTTGAAAATTATAAAAGCCTTAAGAAATTATCTGTATGTTATTGTTACTGTGTAGTCACATTGAAAATGAATCGAAAAATAAATATATTAAGAAATATTTACGATAAAATTGTCGTTGTTTTATTGTTCATCCTCCTTTTCAACACAAAAACCAGAAATAAATTAAAGCAATCTTATAATTAAAACAATTAGAATCAGAAAAAGAAAATAAATTTTAATTTAAGAAAAATACATGTAAAATTACAAAAACTATGAAAAAAATATTTATATTATAAAACGAAAAAAATTTATGTAGATATTTATTATTTTTTTATCAATATGAATTTCATATTTAATTATCTATACTTATCCTATTTAAATGAAATATATTTGTATCATTTTTCTACTAAGGAATACTTAAAATACTTTTTATTAAAAAATTTTTAAATGATTTTAATAATTATATATTTTTTTTAATATAATATATAACGTTGTTTTCTAGATCTACTGAGCACTCTTAAAGACTTTTCTAATAACGATAATAGGATAATATAAAATATAAGAAACATTTTGATAACTTCTTATCGAAATATATTTTCCTAGTAAGAAAATCGAGAAACAGAAATAATAGGAAAACATAAGAATGTATCATGATATTTTATTCTCTTATAAAATTATGTTTTCCTAATAAGAAAGTTAGTCATAGAGAAATAGGATAATAGGAGTGAAGGAGATATCGTGAAACCTTCTTTACGATCATGTTCTTCTAGTAAGAGAATTCATTTTTCGACGCTTGAAGAACGTCGATGGAAGCTTTGTCGATATCAAATTAATATGCGCAAATTATTATTTAAATTATATTAATAATTTAATAAATTAAAGATTTAATTAAATGTAAATAAAATAAATAATATTATAACATTAAAAGAATATACAATATAATTATTATTAATGAAAAAAATATTTTTATAAATTTATTAATATTTTAATAAATTTCTATTTATTATTTATCATTTCAATTAAATAATTAAAATAATATTATATAATATATTAATATATAATAAATTTTAAAAGTTTTGGTAAATTTAATAAATTATAAATTTATTTATAATTCTATTATATTAATAAAAGTAAAAAAATAATAAATCAATTGTATAATATTAAAAATTATGAAGTTTAAATAATTTATATAAAAATATTCAATATTTATTTAAAATTTATATCATTATTAATATCATTTGAAACGAATGAATTCACGAACTACATATATTTATTAAATGAGAAAGTTATACATCGAACTATTTAAAAATATCGAGAATTAAAAATATTTCAAATTTTAAAACTTTTCAAAAGATGGTCTTAGTTATCAATTCTTATTCTACTTTACCCTATCTTTAAAGAGATATCTTTGGTACTCAAAAGATGGCCTTAGTTATCAATTCTTACTCTACTTTACTCTTTAAAGAGATATCTTTGGTACTCAAAAGATGGCCTTAGTTATCAATTCTTACTCTATTTTACCCTATCTTTAAAGAGATATCTTTGGTATTCAAAAGATGGCACTGATGGTCAATTCTTACTCTACTTTATCCTATCTTTAAAGAGATATCTTTGGTACTCAAAAGATGGCATTGATGGTCAATTCTTATCTCTATCTTTGTCTTACTGTTTTCTGTCCTTTATTTATATGTTTCATTTGCGGCACTCTACAGATGGCGCTGATTTCAATATTTTTACTCTATCTCTATCCTTTTTTCACTATTTCCTTTCTTTGTCTATACTTGTCTTGCGTGACCAAGTCTTTTCAAAGATGCGGGCATGCAATAATCATCCAATCAAAAATCCTAGCACGCACTCGACCACTCTAACCGGTTTTCAGGTGGACATGTACCATACCATAAAATTAACGGTAGAAACTCGTCGCTGCACTTTTATAATACATCATAAACATGTTGAATCTTTTCCTTAACTCGATCATAAAACTTTTTAAAACAAAACTTTTTAATTTATAATCTCTATACTTTTTTACTCATAATAGTATATGACAAAATTTAATATCTTCAATTTATCGTAAATTAATTTATAATTTATAATTTATAATTTATAATTTATAATTTATAAATAAACTTTATATAATTTTAGGATTTACAAATGAAAATTCAATATATAAATGTATTATTATCGCGAAATCTCTCGCGATCCTTTATTACCATTTTTCTTACATTTCTTTTATCACAGTCGATGCTACGAAATACATATACAGATTGCTTCTCACGTGTTCAACAATAAATATACAAGAAAGACGAAAACTCAGGGAACGAACATTACTTAACATTTTCCATTATTATATTCAGATTAAATGTTCATTAATCGCAAAAATATACGTTTCAGAAGAAAATAAGGAAAGGAAGAATAAAACTTTCAGCATTTGTTTAACTAACATATAAAGCTGACACTCATTATTCTATAAAGAAAGCTATTTAAAGTTTCTGACCGATGATTACATAAATGTATTTAATCAGAATCGGGTATAATAATATATAAATTTGAATGTTTTTTTTATAATTCCATGCAAATTGAAAATTCTGAAAATTTTTGATATGATTATACCCACTTACTTATGTACCGTTACCTGATTTTGATTAAATAATATAACAAAAAAGAAAAAATAAAAAATAAACAAAATGTCATCGCGATGAAAGCATCTGTTACATTAAAGGAAATTGCAATATGCAAAAAGGATAACTATGTTTGAAATTATCAATAATCTCAAACATCAAAGTTAATATTAACGACATTATACAATAGTTATTTCACACAAGTGATTAAAAAGGCACATAGGCGTGCATAGTCTGAGACATGTCGAGTCAGCGTTTCGCTTGTATATGAAAAACTTAGAAGGAAGATCGTAATTATCACGTGGAAAATATAAAATGACACCTCTATTTATGCTCGTCTTACCGTATCTAAAAATGTATTCTTTAAACATTCTGTATTTGAACTTAACAATGTAAGAACATTATTGAATTATTGAAATAAATAATTTAATAAAAATTTTATAATTAAAAATTTTTGCATAAAAAATGCATAATTAAAAATTTAAATTTCAAAGTGAAACATTGAAAAGTTAAAAATTTTAATAGATTTGAATTTATTCATAGATTTGAAATTTACAAATTTGATATGTTTAAAATTTAAAAATTCAAAATTTGAAAAAAAAATGAAAAAGTTTAAGATTAAAAATTCCAAATTTCAATTTTATAATTCTTCAGAAATTAATGCATTTCTCAAATTATAATTCAACAACAATTTAAATTTTACCCTATCAATGGAGGGTCAATGTTTGTCGCTCGACATCCTCGTGAAAATTTACAAACTATTCAAACTGCAAACATCGATTATGAACGTCACACTCTTATATACGTGTAAACGTATAAGTATATATTTATATATATAATTATTTATATCATATAATTATCATATAGAATTAAACAACATCTGTTCTGTTTTTTAGTTCCATCGAGAATCGACCAATAATGGACGGATTTTTCTCTAGAATTTATTGTAAATTTGAAAAATTATTTGAAAAATTTCAATTTAAAAATTTTCGACAAAAATTGTCTATAATTCGAGTGTATACGTTCTGCATTAGTATGAATGAATATATATATATATATATAGGCACGTCTTATTTTTAATTTGTTAAAACAAGCAGTCGCAAAATTCTCCAATTTATTCCCTATTCTATGATAGTCAAGCGAAAATTCTCTTATTTCAGCTACGTTTTAATTGCACTTAGAATCGAGGTGAAATCGAGGCTCTCATATTTGATTCTTTTGCGATTATCATCGAAATCGTGAACAAACAACAGAATATCAATATATCTATTGGACTCGTACATATAAGACACGCATGTATAACTATCTAAACTTATTCATCGAACTATGTCATAATGCCTTCGAAATCATTCTCAAATTTCATCCGTTATACGATTCTTTTGCCTTTTTGTATAATTTTATTGCTGTCCATTAATTTCTATCATACTTATCATAGTTTGTTCTTACGATTCATTTAAAATTCAATTTAAATTTAACAACCTATAATATTTAATACAATAATAATCCTTCTATCTTTCTAATAAGTAACATTTATCATATATTGATTAAAATGAATTAAAAATCTCGTCGAAATATGGACAGCATATATCAACTATTCACAATCGATCATACATCTTACTTAAAATTCGATCTTATACATTAAAATTTCTCAAGGAACATATCCATAGAAACACGCTTCTCTATCCACCACTCTTCCCGCAGAAAATCTTTTCTCGTCCTTCGTTCTCCCTCCTTCCGACCACCATTCCGGAAATCCTCGACAGACAAAGAAGGCACTTAGTTATCCCGGCGAGAAAGGTCCACGATACAGAATGAAGGTTGAACGACGATGCATGGCTCGCGAGCATACTTTGAGGGGTCATCACGGTCGCTCCATGGTCAACCATGATGGCGGCCGTTTCGCTTCTCTCCCGCCGTTTTTCGCCAGATATCGACTGATCTCGATGCATCATCGTGAGGGAACAGGCTCAGAAGCTGCCGCACTCGCGCAACACGCGATTTCCGAGCGGCATCGGTGGACGGAAGTTGTTGATTACCTGCAACACAAAGGCGGCTGAATTAGGAAAAGCGGGACCGTGATTCCGCCGATTGAGAATTCATTCATTTTCATGAACGGACGTTGACGCGACGATAAAAATAAAAGGATGGGGATAAGGTGGGGAGAGAGAAGAGGAAGGAAAAAGGTAGGTGAAATGGTGACACCCTCGCGAGAAAGGAAGATTAATCGAAGTAAGAGGGTAGGTGTTTGATGGTAGGCGTTTCGTTCCGTCTTCCTGGACAGTGATGAAAATTTATGATTTAATTAAATTTTATTTTTATAAATAATGAGGGAATAAAAGAGTGGAGAAAAATTGTTGGATTTTATTTGAAACTTGTCAAAATTGGTTTCTAGAATTTTGTACATAGGAGAATTTAATAATGTTAAAATACAATTCTGTTCGATTTCATATACTGTGAAATTTTTGCTGCGAATATTTTAACATTATCTACTTTAGTTAATAGAGTTTCTTTGTTTTATGCTTAAGTCGTTAATTTATAGAAACAAAGAAGGAAACGCCTTGAAAAGCGAAATAAATCTGTTGAGAAAAAAAATATTAGCAGTCCATGGTTTAATGAAAATTTTCCACGTTGATATAAATAAACGAATGAACTGTTCGTTTGTTATACTGCTATGAATCAATCATTGTTGCTATAAATATTTTATATTGGTATAAGAGATCTTTGAGATTTGAATCAAAATTTTATTTAACTTTAAAACCAAATGTTTCGGATGAGAGATCCAATGATAGAAAGATTAATCTTTTGATCTAATGAAAATTCAGAAAAATGAATAAATAAAATAAAATTGAATTTTGAATGCAAAAAGATCAATTATGTAAGATATTCGTGTATATTTTATGTAAACACTTACCGCTCCATGATTTTCATGGCAGGGGCACTCCTCACCACGGGAGAATTTACGTAAATTACGGAAAATATTTAATTGGTGATGAGACACCTCGATGCATTTCTTAAAGAGGATCCAAGTAACGCTTTCGTTGCAAGGTGGTGTCGTCAACGATCCCAGATACGTCCAATAGCCATTATCATCTGTAAAAATATATAAAAAATATATATACCAAATCTCAATTCTTATCAAAATAAGAATGCGAAAAAAAAAAATTATTCCTAAATATCTCTAACAATCGAAACTGTCACCACGATAAATGAAAAACGCAAAATAACACAAAGCTTGTCTGTGGATAATTGATTAGCTCGCGATATATAACTTCTTGCCCGATATATTAAACTGGCTGCTAATTTATTAATATGTGGAGCGCGAGAAAAATGGTGACGTAACTGCATTAAATAATAGTAATGCGCTCGACTGTGAAGAATTTCTTATTAAAATGACCTTCGTCAATCTTCAAAGGAATCGAAATAATCGTTAAAACATATAAAGAGACGATTTATATCCGTTTCTTCTTCGTTGAAAGGTTAAAAATTAATAAATTTTTTAAAAGCCGCTTGAAAAACAAATTTTCATCAATTTTAAGCGAATCCAAACCGATTGATGAGAGACATTTCGTTTGTGATTTCTCAATTCTTTTGCGCGACCAGGATCGCGTGGCATAAATGATAGGCTTCCTTCCTTTTAAAGAATCGAGTTGATCGCCGTTGAAAAAAATCGAATGAAAATTTCAAACGAGTGTCTTGCGGTAAATGGAAATGGGAGGCGAAAAAAACAAGGCGACTTTTCATTCGTAGTATTCTATAAAGACATAAAGGTGACCTAATTTGACATAAAAGGGAATATAGATTGACGATTAGATACTAACCAGGAAGAAGTTTGCTGGGATCGATTGGTTCCGTAATTTCTACGACTTCACCTTTGTGCGAGACATAAGGCAAGAGGCGAGCGATCTTTTCCATTTCCTCATGCGTCTTTCCCACCTGCAACGAAAACAAATGTGTTATGCAACACATTCTATTAGAATAATCGTCCATCTATAGTGGTTGTTAATATATATATATATATATATATATGTCGTATGTTTATCAATTGAGAATTACGACGCAAGTTTATCAAATTTTTAACGATGATGAATGAAGAGAGAAATCGTATGAATATTAATCTTAAAATAATTTTAAGTCTAAAAATATACATATAGTCATTCAACGAAAATATGAATTTTTTTTATAAAGAACAATAGAATAGAGCTAGAAACTATAATGCCTAATTTATTAATTAATTTTTCAATATTAAAAAAAAAAAAATGAATGCCATCGTAGTGGCGGAATTGAAACTTATTTTTAAAATTTATCGACTGCAAAAAAATTAAATCAAATTATCAACAGTTAAATAAAACTGCACATCAACCGCGAAAATACATTACATTTATGGTAAAATTTCAACCGGTTTTTATTAAGAACCTGTTAGAAGATATGTTATGAAATATGCGAACGAGAAAATAAAATTTCTAGAAAAAACATGTGCAAGAGTACGAGAACCTGTATCAGTCAAGCATAACCTATATTAATGACCGTACATTATCATTAAATCGTCAAATGTTCATCAGTTTGCAATAACACATACGTAGATTACAGTCTGTCTAAGAGCTGTTAATAATGTAACTAGCGAGCACAATTTACAATGTGCTTTTTTTTTAGCCTCTATGTTCCTCTTTAATTGCAATGAAACATGTGCATATATTACCTATGTAGGTATGCATTTCCTCGATTGCTCTGAAAATACATAGTTACACAACGATCTATGCATTTTCAATGTTAAAACGAAGAAACATCGTAGGAATTGTGCTAATTTTGAAAATTTGTTTTATTCATGATAAAATATCTGCTAAAATATCTTTGGTCTTTTTCATTTTCTTATCTATTAACAGATTATCGTGTATTTTTAAATTCAATGTCTTTTCTATTAATAATTAAGAGGAAAATTTTTTTTGATTATTAATTTTTCCATTTTCATTTACTTGTCTCATTATTATATTCTAGAAAATTTTTTAGAAAATTATTTAATCAATTTTTGCAAATAAATATTAATTCTATCTATCTACAGTCTGTGCTAGTTGATAATCTTACATCTGGCCTTATAATTCCTTTTCAGAGATTTTGCAAGATAAATCCGTTCATCTAATCGAAGAAACACGTTTTCCTTTCTTTTTTGCGAAGTTAAAGTTAACAAAAAAATTAAATCTCAAGTAACTGTAAACTCAAGTAACTTTTTCTCAATAAATTTATTTTATGATAGTTATTATATCTCATAAATGTATCATAAAAATATATTTTAATCAGAATGGATAAATTTCACGTTCATAAATATTGTAAATTTTAAATTTTAAATTTTCAAATGCAGCACCGGAAAATACTACGTGTTATATACCATTACAATTTCTAATAGATTTCGTGCAACACGAATAACCGTAAATAATCCGATTGATTACTATAAATTCGATGGAAATGACTGGTAAATAATAACCATTGTAAACAATCGGTTGCACAATATTACTTTTCGAATTGTCTTACCATTTCATGCTCTAACGAACGATTGCATAATAAATGCACGTGTTTTTTTATACAAAAAAATTCAAATCTTTTCATACACCTTTTGTAGTAGCAGAAAAATTTATTTTTAAATTATACATTAAACAGAAATCATTAAAATTCATTTTTAATAACAAAATTTCTATTTGGATTTAAATCAATTCTATATTCGACGTGCAAACGATTACTGATTAGAGTTTAAGATATGCTAATATATCCTGATCTCATCCACTATTTTTATCGATTCTATTTATTTTCAATTCATTTCTTAATAAAAATTTCCGTTTCAAATTCCTTGAATTTTCTATTCCAAATCTTCCTCTTCTCATACGAAGAAGGTCGAGCGATAACGCAATTTCAATCATACGCAGAAAGTCGGGAAAGTGACGAAACAAACCGGAAGTGAACGATTAAAAGTCGCGCGCGAGCATGCGATTACGATTTGTCCTTGGCTACGCAATATTCAATAGCCTATTAAAGAAAATTTCACTCTTCTAATGTTCGAAACAGTGGGATAATGATGCACGATCAAATACTTATGTAACACGTCATCGAATCGATGATGAAGTGTCACTGTTACGGATTCTGCTTACGCTAGCTTACGAGGTTATATAAAAGCTTGGGCAACTATATGTAAATATGTTACCATGATGCATCCGTAGAAAAGGCATAAACAGCATCTAAACGAATTACGATCTTAAGAACACGTCGTATTTGTTGTCACGACACTCTGTCTCAATTCTTTTTGCCGATTATAGTTCTGGTGAAAGATTTTATTAGTTCGTTCAAAGTCACGTATTTCATTTTCTTCTACCATTCGTACCTTTTTATCTTTTGTTTTTGATTCCTTGTCACGAAATCTTCCAGAGAATATTTCATTACATATTTGAAACTTGTTGTCATCAGATATTTTCTATCAGTCATCATGTTTGCCGACTATAAGGTTTTTGTCTCTGTTTAAAGACTTTAGACGTTTCGAGATTATATATTCGTTCGTTTTATATTACTATTTTTATTATTATTATTATTATTATTTTGTTCTTTCGCTTTAACGTTGTGTTTTATCACATGGAAAAATTGAAACTGACAGTTACATATATATATGTATATATATAGATATGATGTAAAAAGAATACTTTGAAGTTTAGATACAGATTACCTTCAAGAATACGCCAAGAACAGCAAGACCATCGGACGCTTTTGCAGCTTCGGCAAATGTGTTGTATTTACTTGTATTCCAATGCACCAGATGCAACTGCAATGTGAAAATAACGTACAATGTAAATACAATTAAAAATACAAAAAAAAAATAAATAAAAGAAGTTGATAGTTGTAACAATTTTTAAAATTGTTTATTTCCTTCTTTCGAAATTTTATAACAATTTAATTAATTAATAGAAATGGTGGAATTCAATTAATAAAAGTTTCGAAACAAAATGTATATCTAATATAATTATATTATATTATATAAAATACTGATATAAAATACTAAAAATATATATATATATAAATATATAAGAAAACTTTTATAAAAATAATAAGATTAAAATTAATACAAGTCTCTTAATTAATATAAATTATTATTATTTAATTATGTAAATTAATTAAGAAAAATCAACAAATAAATGTTAAAAGTTCACATATGCATATTTTAAAAGGTTTTCTAATATATTTTCCTTGTAATGTTTATATCATGATCTTGCCACAATAGATCTTATTAGTTAAACTTAATGAATATTTAATGACTTGTAGTAGCCGACGGTAACGATCATTAAGAATTATGCGATCAAGAAGAAAGTTGTTCTTTGATGTTTCATGAATCATCATAATCTAGCTCCTTCTAAGCATTATAGAAACGAGTCATGATTATGCCAACAAGTTTCTCAAATAATTTATAGATAGATAAGATTTTCGTTGCGTAGAATTAATTAACAGATAATTGATAGATAACTCGTTTCAATGGAATACAATCTCATGATAAGATTACAAAATTTGAATATTGCAGAATATTAATCAGCTCTTTTATATGACAATATTAATGCAAAATTTCCTAATTTCATACAATTATAGATTTCCATCATTTTTATGATATCAGTTATCAAAGAGAAAACACGTTATATATATTATTTTCAATAATTTCACAAGTTACAAATATGAAAATCAACGAATCATTGGTTAATCCTGAATGAAAAATTGAATAAATTGTGCACATAATTTTATTATTTCATGAAATTCTGAAATTTTTTTTTTTTACTTGTTATTATTAGTTCTACATAAAAAGAACAAAAAAAAATTTTCCACTTAGAAATAATGATCGATATTATACAACCTGTATCTTTTTTCCATGACCTCTAAATGGTTAATTGCAATTGCTTATCTAATTATCACATTCCATTATACATAATAATCGTATATCGTTTTAATATTTATCATGTCCTTTTCATTCTTCTCTATATACAATTTTATTTATTCAATAATATAATCAATAAAATAATAATTTATATACTCAAAAAATAATGTTGAATGATAGATCTCCCTTCTTTTGATGCGTCAAAGATCCAGAGGAAAATGCATATATGGAACAAGTGTATTTCTTAGGATCGTCGAAGAATGGAATCGCAACTTTTTAACATCACATAGTTTGCCTGGTTTTTCACTAACAATTAATCATGAAAGAACTTCTTCGTTGCGTAATCGTTGTCTAGTTCTTTGCTCCTTCAACCGAAGTCATTTCTCACGAAGTTTAGACTCATGAAGTTTGAATATATATTCTCTTTTACGTAATTTTATCGCAATTTCCATATAAACGGCATAGACAATTGTCATAATTCTTTGTAATTCTTGAAACAGGAAACAAACGTGAATAATAACATGAAAAATTATTATCAAATTATTACAGTGTTATGAATTTAATTACTTAATAAAAATTGATTACAAAAATTTCTTTACTGAAATATTTTATATTTTATTTCAATAAGTTCAAGATGTTAATTTAAAAGCAAGATATATATATATAATTCTATTAATATTTTTTAATTCGTTATTCATAACAAATTATGGTAAAAAATAATTATTAATAAATAAGAAGAAAGGCAAGGAAAAACTTTATCTAAAAATAACAGCATGAGTCGATAAATATCAATAACATTCATATCAATGTTAATACGTCATTCGTATTATCTTTCATATTTGAAATCAAAGTTTATTTTTTTATTTTATTGTTCGCATGATTAATTATTTAGTTTTAAGTGAGAACTATCGCGTTGTTTGTAATTTCGCAACAACGATAAATAGATAAAACGATTTTTTTATCCTCAATACATTGTATATATATAATTAATATTAAAATAATAAATAAAAGTGATATTCTTTCTTCTTTCCTTCAATTTCTTTCTTCTTTTATAACAAAAAAGATTAAAAATACCATGAGATTTATTAATAACTATTATGAATTGATGATAAATTAAGAAATCAAAATAGCAGAAAATAATTAAAAAATACAAATTATTGAATTTACAGTGACAACATATATATATATGTGTGTTATTCAATCAAAACGATTTGAAATTCGTGAGAAAATTCATTTCCAACTCGACTTACAAATAACAAAGGGTTAAAGATCCGATTAATGAGAAAACTGTTTGGAGTGGAATCTTTCCTCCACTCACAGACGACGAGATACACGCGTTCACGAGTACAGGAACAAGGTCGAGTCAAGAAGTTGGTGTGATGGGTGATTGTGACGCGAATCATGTCCCTTGATGGTGAATTATTAAACGATCCGAAGCCAGACACTCGTCGTTAGGAATGTTTAGAGTGCACGGTTAATCGGTGATCCCACGTGCGTCCCTCTTAAAATCGTTTACAGCATAACCTCCTCGTCTCGTGTTCGTGCGGGGAATCGAGAAAGATTTCGCGTTCCAGAAAAATATCCAGTTCTCCAGAGTATATTTATTATATTTTGTCTATTTATATATCTAATGTAAGGAAAGAAAATTTGGCAAATGAAATAAATTTGTCACTGTCACATTTCGGATAACGAAGATTGTGATAGAAATTGGACTATGGATATTGCACAAGGTCCAGAGATCCAATTGTTAAGGACGTGAGCATGAGTGATTAAAGACTATATAAGTGATTCCTCTTCGTTTTATTGTACTTTCTGTTTGCAGAACTGTTCTTAAACCAATTTTTATCAATCAATTATATTTATGATGATAAATATATAGCATCAAAATAAAATTTTCAAATGGAATTTGTTATTTTTGCATGCAAGGAGTGTAATTATTATCTCCATGTGAATGTTTCAAAATGCACTATTAAAATTCAATAATTTTGAAAAATTAATTATCTTTTAAATAAACTAACCTCTCCTGCGAAGGCTTGTCCATTCACAGTGTGCTCGGATCCTCTCGAGTCACTGCATCCCCAATGACAGTGATATTGTTCCAGTTTATACACGTCGTCCATTAAAGGTCCACCGCTTAAAACTGTAAAAAAAAAAAAAAAAAAAAAAAAAAAAAAAATCATTATAAATTTATTCCATTGTACAAAACAAAATGCTAAAAATAAATATAAACCAAGAAAAACATCGTTTCCTCGTATCCTTTTAATCTTAAATTTACCATCCTCAATAGTCGAAATTTATTGCGATTGTAAAATTTTTGTTTCCTTTGAAAATATTGTGTAATTTTTCACCGATAGCAACGTTAACAGAATCTCTAATTTTAGTCCGAAATTTGTTGTTGTGTAACGTGAAAACAGAAATCAACAGAAAGGCTTCCATTACGGCGACGCGGTATCGGGGCAAACGCGGATCGTTTCAGCATGTTAAATTACAGGATACGCTTGATTAGCCGAATTACGCGAACGATATTGTTGAGGGGATAGTAGCGGATGGAGAAACCCCGCACGCGTCATAGGTTAAAGAAGATTTATGGGGGACGGGTCAGAGTTGAACGCTCGAATCGACGAGTACGTTTTTCGAACCGGATGGAGAAGATCACCTGGTTCAATTGAATATCTATCTTGCTTGGTATTGCAATTTAAGATTTTCTTTTGAAAAATCTATATAAATTTAATTTTTTTTTTATTCGAAGAATTATACTTTTAATCAGAGTTTGTTATTATTTTTAATTAGGATTATCTTTATTATTATTATTATTATTATTTAAAAATTTGATTAGAAGGATTTTCAATGTGGTATGTACCATGGTCGAAAAAATTAAGTAGTATGTAAACAATGTATTATATCGCATTATTTATATATACGTAAATACTTTATTTTATCTTATCGCATAAATATTATATCATTATCATCACATTCATTATTTTAGAATTATCGTTTCGTTGTATTAGTTAAATTGTGTGTTATCTTTTAATTCTCGTTATCGTATAATTGTTTTATACAATAATTTTTGGAATCAATTTGAGAAAGATCTTTTTATTGATTGATCGTAAGATTAAGAAATTTTTACTCATGACTGTTAATCGATTATCATTAATGTTACATTACACAAGTGTTCTAAAGTTCATTCGAATATAAAATGTCATCTGTTTAAAAAGAGATTCGAAATTGTGAAATACCGGTATAGAGATCTTCGATCTTCTCATTTGTTTTAAAAATTTAAATAAATTGAAATCGTGTAGGCATGCATGTATGTTGGTGTCAGAAAAAATTGAATTACGAAAGATTCTTTAAGATGGAAATGTCAAAGATATTGCAATAAAGATATTACGTAGCATAAAGTTTCAACGAAGTTTGTATAATAGACAAATGAATAGTTGAACTATAACAACAATACGTATTCAAATTTTTATAATAAGCTTGTACCACTCTTGTGCCATTCTTTCAACTAAAGAATCTAATAGCTCATTGAATAATACACAATATAACGATAACATAATTGTTTTCTGAAGGTAGACAAGTGCAAATAAGAAACAGATGTGTGTTTTCCAATTGTTTAAACATATATTTATCTTGAATAAAAAAAAAGGAAGCGCATGGTATTGGGCCATCGATTCCCTGAAACATTGCTCCATTTCCATCGTGTGAGAACGTTTCTACCGCGTATGAGCACGCATAATGCGTCACGAAATGGCCGTCCTCGTTTCGAGCACACACCTCGCGAAGGTAAAAGCCTCCTCGACAAGCACGAAACTGCCATTGAAACGTTCGAGGGAAACGCGAACGACCAACGATCCGCTTTGCACTCGTTCATTACGTTCGACGACTCTTCCTTCCATACCAATTACGTATTCTGTTTTCTCGTGCGATCATTTCCTATCATTATCTCTATTTCGTGGCCACCATTATTCGATTTGCAATTTCTATCTTCGACCTGCTTTGATCACGTTTTTATTCATTTATTTATTTATTTTTTTAAAGTAAAAATCTCGTATTTTATGTAAAATAACGGAAAATAATTCCTTTGAATTTCCTTTGAAGTATAAATTGATCGTTCATGATTTAAATCGAAAGAATTTCAAATTAAAAATTTTGAATAGATAGAATAGAATAAGGAATATATTGTTTTAATTTGAATATTCAAATGCTTTCTTAACATGTATTTATGTAATCGATCGAGTGACTCTATTCTTACGTAATTATTTTTTTTAAATGAATATTAAACATTAACCTGTTGCCTGGAAATATGAGGTAATCATATTTTTATTAGTATCTTAAACTTGTCCATTTTTTATGTATATTGTATCTTATTATTATTTATTCAATTTTAATCCTCCATCGAAACAAGTTTCTTATTAAAAATTTATCTGATTAATATTTCAATCCATCATGAAATGGCAAATTCGTACCATGAGAATTCTAGGGAATACTAGACGTTGAATCCTTAGGGATTACCAGATATTCATCAAATTATATCTACTTGACATAAAATATTCATTTCTGTTCTCGAAAAATTGAAATGATTCTATGTAATTCTATTTCGAATTTCTGAATTAACAATAACAAAAGGAAATTATTTATCATTTCATTAATTAATATCAAACTAAATTATCAATCGATTAGGAATGATTACAATGGAAAACAGATTTACAAACGCAAAAAACTAATTTTGGCACAGAGTTACAATATCAAAGACTGCCTTCAATATATTAAATATATTTATAGAACTCGAGTCTCTTTTATCTATATCAACTTACTCGAACAAATTACTCGTTCGATTAATAATTGGATAAATTACAATCTACTTAATCCATATTTAAATATAAATTATTTCTTTGACAAAAATTTTTTTCTGCTGATAATCCAACCAAGTCTTCGATATCGTAGATAAGAGTGGTAAAGTACAGAATAAAGTTTTATAGCCACGAGATTTACGTTATGATGAAATGCAAACGCGAGCTTTCCCTCTGATGGATTCCTGTTAGGCTCTCACAATGTCGGAAATGGACGATTAGAGCCACGTTTCGTGGCTCTTGCATGCAACCAATTAGCTTCTGTTCGCGGTTAATACTGAAATCTACTTCGAACCGCTTCAAATTAAGTCCGTCGAGCTTCATGGACTAATATTTGGGCCATCTTGATCAAAACAATACTCCCTTTGGCTAAGATTTGATCGATATTAGTTCGAATTAATAATCCATATAACGAAATATTCTATAATATTTATGTTTATGATTGAACAAGAAAAAGATAATTTTAATCGAATTTGAATTTGAGAGAAAATACAAGAGAGAATAAAATCTAAAAAGGCTAAAAAGTTTATCACAGATTTATCTGTTTTTACTTATTTCATTAATAATCAAAATAACGATGTTTGGATATTAAAAGTTTATATCCAAGAGAAACTCATTCTTCATTTTTGAAAGACTTCTCATTGGTAATACACTGTTAATTATCTTATTTGAAAAATTAAATTTCTTCTTTTAATACACGCTTCATCCATCATTTTAATCCAGTTATTTTATTATTACAATTATTATTATAAAATATTTTTTGATAAACAATATTTACCAAAGCTCGAATCTGAGAATGAAAAACAAAGATTTGAAAAAAGTTCTTTTTTTCACAGAATCTCTGATCAGGAGACACATTTGCATTTCACAGTCGATCTGCAATTCAATGCTTGGGATCGAAATTGTTCTCACAGCGTGTACTGGACTTTTCAACTAACGAACGACTTCTTAGTTCCGCATTTAAATGCACGAACGAACGTCACGATATGGCACACCGCGTTTCTTAACCCCAAAAAGCTTTCTTTACCACCCGAATGATAAATAATATCCTCGGCCAAGCAACGACATCGCGAGATAAGTTCGTTCAACTAGTTGACAAGCATTCGTATTATATCGACGTGAGTGATTAATATGAAGCAATCTATGCATTGAATTTTTTTAATGCTATATAATATATATATATATATATATAATATTCCATATTTTATCAACTAATTATATTTTTTCAAACTTCTTTGAAAATGTCTTTGAAAATTTTTGTCGTAGAATTCTAATCGTTCAAATTCCAATTCACCGATCATTATTTAACGTGATTTTGATCAAGTAAAATCTAACCAATTTAAAAATTTCTCGAATAAAAAATGAACTTACATGTGCCTTCGCCATCAGTGTCCATCCGCCAGCAGTAACCTGGATTAACGAGCTTCCGAGATGCGGTTGCTGGATACTTCCAGCGCAAAGGTTTGCTACTTAAAGCCTCGTGATCGGATTCGACTTTGTCGGTTTCGATGTTGACAGGACTCTGCCTCGATCCTGCAGCCATTGGAAACTTCGATACCCATGTGCTTGGTCCTGTAACAAAAAAAAAAAATATTTTAATTAGTTTGATTATATGAATTGTATGGGTGAGACACGATAAATTTGAATCATTTCATTAATCACCGTGGTGTTGTGTACAAAGTGATTGTAAAACAATTTATAGTTTTATGGTATGCTAAACTAAGATTAATATACAATTGTATGATTAGATAAAGTACAAAAAGGAGTATTAATCATCTTAGTTTCATTGATATTTATTAAGCTTTGTATGTAATTCTTGAAATTCTGTACGATTATTCTCTTTTGTTCCTTTATATTTTAGATATATAAAGGAATTAATGTTAATTAAGTGTATTATCGCATTTTATTCTTTTTCAATGAGAAGAAAAAAATATTGCTATTCAATTGAAAATTAATATTATACGAGATTATTTTATAGAATTAGAATTAAATATATTATGATATTAATATTTAATACAATTTTCTAAAAAAAATTCCATATATCGATCATAAAATCTGCAAAATATCTCGACGTCGAATTATGATCATAGATATAACAGGATTTTGCAAGCGATCGAAACTTTGCCAATTATCTAGAAAAGAATGAAACGCAATGAAAATTCGAAGATAAGGATTTAGGTGTTTGAAATAATGCTTTGAAATCCAGCCTACGACACGTTAAATGAGATAATACAGGCTGATAATATACAATTTAATCATAGATCAGGATTTTATGATTTTGCAATAGATAATGATCGAGACGCCAGAAAAAAATTTCAAAAGTTGTTCACTCTTATTTGTACACAGTATATTCTTTTTTATCCATCATCTCATCGTATAATTTATCGTCGTATAAATATTAAAACTAAGATTACATTTTTAAATTATAATTCAAATAGAAGAAGAAAGAACTTGAAGAAGTTTGATTCCATTTTCTGAAAAATTTTTCATTTACTATTTCTCTTAACAGCAAGGATAAAATATATAATCGATTATTTAACTTTTGAAGAATCAATAAATCTGATGGAATTTAAGATTTGATTTTGTGCGAATGAATTATCATGCCTATATAAAAATATATAATCTGTTTTTATTTCAAAGATTATTTCTTTGGCAATAAATAATTTATCGATAAAGTAAGTTTATTGTATTGGTTAAAAATAAACAGAGTTTAATTCGATAGGTCGTTGGACAAGAAAGTGAATGATAATGGCACGCGAATAATAACGCGCTGATTATGTAATAGTAAACGCATCAAAACAGCGTGTATTGGTCCAGATAATCAGAATAAATTATTATATTGATTTAAGACTCACGTTATCACGGATGCACGCGTCACGTGCTACTGCATAAACTTTCATCTTATCGTGACACGCGATTCTGATATTGGTCGTAACGTCCTTCGATTAAACGTTAGTTAGAATAGTGATTTTTTTCTTTTTTTTTTCTTTTTTAAATCGACATTCTTTTTCTTTTCGTTTTCTATTCATTGAATTTTTTGAAATCGTTTTTTTTTATTCTAAATTGAATAAATAACTGAATTTCATAGTTGCTTATTTGTTACTTGAAAAACTTTTCATACGTAATGCATTCGAGAATGAGAAAAATTTGTTTTCATCTATTTTTTCGTGAATCACTTCTTTTAAATACACCCTGAATTAAATGTAATTAAAATAATTATATACGTATAATATTAAATGTATAATTACGTATATATATATAAAACGTATAATTAATAGACGTGTAATTATTAAACTTAATACAATTCATCGTTAATTTTGAATAAAAATATTTTTATATTTGCTTTTAACAATTGTAGCAAATAATGTGAAATTTATATAAAAAATTTAAATAAATTAAAATAAAAAATTAAAATTAGAATTCTAAAAGCAATTGTAAAAATAGTTTTAAAGAAAACATAGAGAGAGCACGAAAAATAGAATTGATCATCGATGAGAAGAAATTTAAAAATGAAAAATAAATATCGAATTTAAAAAGACGAAAAAGTATTTTATTAGTTAAATATATATCAATAGCGAATTATTATTGATTTGGCTACAATTAGCAATCGGTCGAGCGATATGATAGTTAAATGAAGATCATTTTCGGAGAGGGATAGGTCAAGGAGGATTCTTTCGTGTCAAGATCATGTGATATTACACCACGATATTTTTATCAGAGATTTTGCAACAAACAGATTAAAAAAAAGAAGTACATGTGCGACAGAAGTGAACAGAGATAAAAATGAAACACCTGAAAATATAAAGGAAATTCAGATTTAAATGTCTTACTGTATTCTTGTAAAAAAATCGACTTTTCTTTCGAAGTTAAAAATTTTCTTAAAAAATATATTAAATTTTTCTAAACGTAATAATAACTAAAATCTTAAATTCGATTTTCAATAATTAAATTATAATAGAATATGTATAGAATGCAAAAACTAAAGAATTAGAAAAAAAGTGTTTAAGTGAAAGAAGTGAAAGAAGTGAAAGAAGTGTTTCTCTATTTCTTTACGTTTCTCAATCTTTCTTAATTAATTTTAATGAATTTTTTTCTTTTAATTTAATATAAAAGAACAATGAAAAAATATTTTTTTTATTATTTAATTATCTAATTCAGATCATTTTTCCGTAAAAAAAGAAAAAAATATAAAAAGAACATTCTCTTAAAAATTTAAATATATTGTTTTTGTACTGCCATAATCTCCGCCACATATTCTTCTTGCTATTTATAGAATCTTATTGGCACGATTTGATGATTCGATTTTGCGACATCCTTAACAATGGACCAAACACGAAACACGTGATAATTCATACGATTCTCACGCTAACGAATCACAACTTGGCAAAGTATAAATTTCATCAATCGTAATCTTTTATGCATTACGAACGTCATTGCACATTTTCATTTTATTTCTCATTAAATAATCATCAATATTTCTAATTACCAAACCAACGTCATTCGTTTCAACTCAACAATGTTAATCTACCAAATGAATATTTTTTATTTCTTTTCTTTTTTTATTTATCAATGGCAACAAGTCAATTATTATTCTTCGAAAAGCATGGCATGATCGTCTGTTCGTCCCTGGGATGGGAAAAAACAGTTGTACCATGCAGACATTCTTTTATCACACGTTAGATTCCCGCGTGTTTTACAGCTGCGAAACAGCACGTGATGATGACATAATGTGCGCGACGTAACCATGATTATACTTGGTACGAATGATATTATAAGCGCTATTAATTTGCAAAATGCCCTTTATAACCATATCCGTCATTTTCTTCCAATTTCCCGCCAATTTGCACAAGATATAAAAAGATTAATTAGAAAAGATATATCTGATGAATTTTGATTCGAGATAAACGATTAATTTTTCTATATTTCTCGTAAGTATTAAGTTAATGTTCAGCTTGATTAATCATTTCCGCTATTTTTTTCTAATTTATTGTAATATGAATAAATAGATATGAATAGAAAGATATATGATAAGTTTTGAATCGATGAACGATGAATTTTTTTGTATATATATAAATTATTTAATTTTTATAGTTTGATTGATCATTTCCGCTATTTTCTTCCAATTTCTTGCCGAGATATGAATGAAAAGATATATTATGAATCAGATACAATTTATTAAATTTTTAAGAAATTTTTTATGAGATGATAATTGATATTGAATATTTGAAGGTTAAATCTCTGGTGTGGAGTAATAGAAACTTCGATAACAACTGTCAAAGAAACTAATAAATATAAACCAATACATATAAACCATACATATCCTTGAAAGTGATATAAGCAGTTACGAATTCTGGCTGAATAATTCCGGTTCTGTAGAATTATAAATATCTTATACATCATCTCCACTAAATACAATTTTTATGAATTTTCCTTTCTCTTTTTATGTTTTTTTATATTTACATTTTCCTTCCTTATCAAATAGTGCATTAATACTAGTTTAATAAATATTATTATTATTAAAATGATATCAAAATGCAATTATCATTCGGTTCCTCACTAACGAAGGCTAATTCATTATTGCGAAGATGTTCGACGCGTCTTCCGGCCATCTGAATACAATTCAATCCAGCATCTCTCCCATGCTTGTTGAGGACCTCCATTTATCGCGATCACAGAGCCCGCCGCGATTCGTGTAGAAAAATATCTCCTCGAGGTCGTCGAGAACTGCTCGAAGGTTCGTTCAACCTTGCCGAAGTCACGAGCGTAAATGCTGTGTCTCGATCAACGATTGCGATTTCGCAGTGAATTTCTCCTCGGACCTTACACTTTGACCTTCTTAATACCTCTTCACCGAGGCCAACTCGTATTTTAAATAAAATGGCAATATTGTCACATGAAAAACCGGATAAAAAATTAAAGAGAATCAAGATGTTTCTAGAAAAATTAAATTAAATCTTGAAATAAATTAAATTGATGAATTTGTGTGAACCTGAATTGAAAATTTACGAAAATTAACGAAATATTTTTTGAATGATACTTTTGATATTATTGTATAATGTGTATAATTTTAAAATATGTATTGATGATGATGTATGAATATAATTTCTTAATAAATACGCGTGAATAATAGCCACACCTTTTAAGTAAACCGGATAAGAAAGATGACGCGTTGGGTCTTCCTGTTCGTACTATTGTGTACCATATTTGATGACCATATGTCCATGAGACGACTTTAAACTAAGCTTAATTAAATCAAATCATTGTTTTAAATGCATAACTTGCGTTGCTGATTAATTATGATTTTTACATTTTTCAAAAATTGAGGGAAAAAATTAATTCATTTTATGATTTCATAATTGAATATCGTAATCATAAAATTCTAATTATTTTATTATGTAAAAATTGAATCATCGACATTAGTCTAGTGAGTGAGATTAAATATCATATATCGATGAAAACAGTATATGAAGCACCGAAATCAATATATGACTTCTATGTCTATAAGATAATCATCAAACTTTCATTTGTTTTGTTCTATTTTTCCACATTTCTGTCCAATTCTAAATAATTCCAGAAAATACAAGTGATACAGGTATATAAAAATTGCATTATAAAAATAATTCTTGAAATTTCGAAAATTTCTAAAGAAAAGTTCACAGAGTTTTTTTTAAATTCTTCAATTATCAATTAGATAAATTATTTATTCCTATTTTTTCCTAAAATTATTTTGAAATATTTAAATAATGGAATAAAGCTAGATAATTATGAAAGCTTGGTTGTAGATTACTTTTTCATGCTTTTAACCGATATATATTACCAATCGACTTAATAAAAATCATTAATGATTTTGTATTCCAACGAAATATGGCATTGTATAAATAAAAATGGATCAACAGTTTGCGCAAGAAATAATGCAGAAACATCAACCTCGATCCTTTTATGGCAAATTCCTGTTTGACCCGAATTTCTTGTTAATTATAGCAAGAAAAAAAAAAAAAAAGAAAAGAACAAGGAAAAGAAAAAAGAAAAATATTCGTATGAATTTCAACAAAAGTTTCGAACTAATCAAGAACAATAAAATGATCAAAGATTTCTTTTTAAAACGCAACACGTGTTTGCAATTAAAAGCCTGCAATGAAAAACTTCGCTTTCACAAGTTATACCATTCCGAATATCTTATCTTCCATTTCATTTCTTAATTTAATCACGATTCTCGAATACATTATATTATTAATTCTATTCCAATATTTAATTCGATCGATATTTTTCGATATTTGTAATTATCTGTTTATTTATAATTATTCTACGCAACAAAATATTCACAATAATGACACGATAATGAAAAAGATAATATGAATTAATAATTAAATCGATAATCGATAATGATATTCAAATCGATCAAAATAATCGACTCTCAATTAATTCCCCCGTCGATTAACAGCGTTGCGGTTTTAAATAGTCGTAGTGCAACTTCTGATCATAATCGAATGTCCCGTAGCGGTAAATATTCGAACTGATTGCCATTTCTCGGCCGAATCACCGGTACACGTTCGAAAAGTCAAATGACTTAATCGTCAATCTGCACGCCGGCAAGGAATTTATGCAAATCACAGTATCCGCCAAACTTCGCGATTGCACTCGCGCCGGTTCAAAGATAGCGCTGACAAATTGGCCCCAGATTAAGGGCATTTCGGAGAGGCATGCACGGTAACTGGGTAAGGCGCAACAAAACTGGGTCTCTGACCCCTAACACATGCTTTCGTATATACGTTTCACTTCGTTCTCTCTTATAAGTATTTGCATCAAAAGTATGCACGTCGATATCGCTCCAGTTGCTTAAATATTGATATTTAATCATGTGTCAAAAGATTTATTTATCACCGATTTAACCAGTTAGTTTCTCTTCGTTTAATGAAAAACTACCGGAATGATAGAAATTAATTATGCTTCGATATAGATGTAAAAAAAAAAGAAAAATTATTCTTAGAAAAACATTTTGTTTTCCTTGATTGAATATTTTTTTTAGCAAAAATTTTCAAATGAAATGTAAATGTTTAAATTAGCAGATATAATAAAATTGAAATATATCTCGCAGTGAATTTTGCATAATGATAAATTTTTCACAATAAATATTTGTCAAATCGAACCGTGATCTCATTTTTTTCGGCGATCTATTTACGATATTTATACGTTTAATTTGGATCACATTTAAGCATGTTACACAACGTTTACACTTCATTGCCGATATATTTAATTATTTATTATTCATCGTATAGTGATATATATAATTAACTCTATGTATATGTATACACTCTCGTGCACAACCAACTCGATAAAGCATACCATTCCATCTTTCAAGTTACTATTACAATTGTAACAACTACTACATCAATGTTCCTCGTTCTTTAAGCACTTAGGTATTTCGTGCTCATGACCCTCTCGAATTAAAGACGTGATATTCGACTACAACGAACACAAGAAACCCATGTACAACGCGTGCATGTTCGTACCTCGTTACCAACGAACAACGTTCTCTCTATTCTCGTATTATGCTTACGTGTTACACGGCTAACACATTGTACGATACGTTCTAACGCGATTCATACATATTTGAGGTTATCCATGCTATCCATGTGTCAGTATATGCGGATTTCAAGTACATTCACAATCAATGGTCAGAATAATATACAGAAACGTCTATACTCGCCAGAACAGGTGCATCGGCCTGAAGTACGATCAGGAAAATTATTGATTTTCGTTTACCTACTGAGCCGGTTGCTGTCCCGTGCTAGCATGGCGAATGCAACGCCGTCCCTTGGCACGACTGGGACGCCCTGTATTCGAAGACAATGGCCTTAGGTCAGTGAGCCTGGTGCCATCATGACACCGTGTAAATCGAATCTGGCTCGAAATGAAAGCTGATATGTTATCACAGATCGAATAGTAACTTTTTCCATTCTTGTTTCCAGTTTCCGTTTCAATATTGAAAAAATAAGATCAGCAATGATATGTGAAACGATCATTCGATAAATCGTTGTTTATTAAGAAAAAAGGAAAATATTGGAATGTTTGGTTATGTTTGCTACAAAAAAATTTCTAATCTGTTCTATAATTATAATCAAAATGGATATTAAATAATAATATTAACAATATATAATAATATAAACAATAGAAGAAATCACGATACAAAATAAATTAATTGAAAAAATATGCGTTATAAAAAATGATCGATCAATGGTATTGACTTTCAACAAAATCGTAATTCAAAATAAAAAAGATTAGAAAATTTTTAGCGAGTTTTTTTGCAGATATAATATAATACTTGTATGTATTTTTTAAAGATTGATTATTTTTATGGAATTAAAACAAAAATATCAAATGATATTTTATCGATATCATATTCTTTGTATTTGTGAAATATCATGATTTGCAAAATTATAAATTTTCATAAATGTACATGTCATTTTTAATTTTTTAATTGACGTACACCGATATTGTTATAATATATTTATATCAGATATTTCTTTTTATTAGATAAACAATAAAGCATTTCAAAATCACAAAAATGATTAAATTGCATCAAACGCAATTGTTATTTGACAAAAATAAAAAGTTATGACAATAAGATAATATATTGTGAAATAATGCAAAGATTGAAGTTCATAGAATAAAATAATAAAAAAATAAAAACAATAAAATTCATTATTCTTCATAGAAACTAAATTGTTATCATATTCCAATTTTTAAAAAAATCTAAATACATTAATGAAGATTAATGTTTCACAATTATCTTTTTAAAAAACATAACTATGCTTATTATATATTTTAATCTAATTTTTTTTTTATTATGTAGAGATTATATTTGTTGCTTTTACGAATTATGATATGGTGAATGGAATACAAGAATAAAAAATTAGAAAAAAATAAGTAGATATTTTCATTAGCTAGAAAAATAATTTTATAATATATAAAAGTTCATGATACGTAAAAATTGCAATCGATATGAATATTCAATTTTTAATGAAATATATTTAAATTAATAGATAACGTTAAATAAACTATATATTAATATTTTTTTAAGTAAATTATTTAAAATTATTTAGAAAAGTATGAAATATAAAAAATTTGAGATAGATCTCGAATATTAGAGTGACTAGTCGAATGATCGATAATGCATCAACTCTCGCTTTTCGTTACAAGATTTATGGAATACCTAACGGATGTCACAACACGAGTTATAATTCTAATCAATGATCATGTTAAATGATAAAAAAATGAAAGGAACATTGTAAACGTGCTTTCAATTGAACAAATTAAAGCAGTTGAGATAAATGAAATATAATTGATTATGTTATTTTTCTTTTGTAACACAATTTTTATATCTATCGATGACTGCTATTTTTTCTATCTTTGATATACCAGAGAAATATATAAAAATTTGAATATTTTATTATTCGATGTAAATAATACAATGAGTATACTAATATAAATTTAAAAAAAATGTATATCTGTCATAACTTCTTGTTTTTATTCGATTCATATGACATTTATATATAACCAAAAAAAAGACTCACCATTTTGGACAGAGTAATCCCATTCGCTTTTGTCGGCCATTTCGTAAAGGACGATCACCTTATCGAAAATTCAGGTCCGCGAAATTAAGATCCGAGTAGAGTTTACTGCCGGTCGTCTTGTCGGTTTACAATTTTTTATTAAATCGAATACGTCACTATATTGCGTCTTTTTTCTTAATCTATTATATTCGCGAGTCGTAATTATTGACAATTTGTCAATTAGATTCACTATCAGTCGATTCAAAATTAAAATAAAATCGAGAAACGATTGTCAAATACACCAATCGTTGACTAACTTTTAACTTCTTTGTTATATTACAGATATTTTCGATTCATGAACAAAAAAGTTCTGATGATTATATCAATATTATACAAACTAACTTTTAGAAATGCATATATATATATAAATTTTAAAAAATTATTTATATCTTATTATTAAAGATCGAAGCTGTAAAATGACTCACAACACAAATCATCTACGAATGCGACGCCGGCCGGCCAACTACTGGATTTTATACGCGCATCAGTCACGTGATTCTTACTATGGAAATGTAAGTGACTGCGCATGCGCTAGTAAATGTTTACACGTGCAGCGTCAATCCCCACCATATACTAGCTAGCACGTGCTTACTTATGATCAAACATGATAATTTTTATTCCAAAGTTTTTGAATTTTTTTATAAATCAAATAGATTAATTTGACGTTTACTTTAAACAATCATAAAGCAATAAATGATTGAATTAATCGCGTTTGTTGGCTAATATGAGTTCGTACTGTGAGAAGGATAGTAACTAGCGATTTAATGCTTTAATGATTCATTTTATAATCTATTTCAAACGAGAATATTAATCTCGATGAGATGATAAGGTAATATAATATGTTACAATTGTCCTATCAATTGCAATGAGAAAAAATCAAATACACTCCTTTATTGAAGGTTGCGGTAAACGATTTTTTATTATTTTTTTATAATTTTTTATTACATTATCAAAATTTCGTGGAATATTTGTATCAGTTTGGTTTTTTAATAATGCGCAATTATCGTGATTGATCAATGAAAAGATTAAATTGATTCTTAAATATACTTTTTTAAATTTTATTCTGTTTGCAGTATGCGCTTTTTATTTTAAATGTAACAATTTTTCTTTAATTCAATTTACTTTTTATACTATATCTTTTTTCTTCATGGATTTATGACAACATATGCATAAATGCTAGATATTATTTTAATTGTCGTTTCAGCATGCATATTTCTAAACCAGATGATACAAACTCGTTTATTATATCAACTGAAGAATCATGATCACACAACGAAATTGCATTCGTTAACCGATGAATCACAGTATATAGTCTTTAAGAGGTCGAGGACCGAAATATTTCCTATAATATATTTTCATTATTTTAACTATATTATTAGAAATACCTGATCTAACGGTATTTTAAAGTTGGCCAATACATTTATTAGCCTAAGGATTTCCATAGATACAGAAAAAATATACTAATATAAAAATTCCCTTGTATTATAATACGTCGGTAGATATAATAAATCACTAAATAATCCTTTCCTCATAAAGTAATAATTTCTTTGTCAATGTAGTCTTTCAATCAGGTAAGTACTGTAAACTTAATCTTTTAAATCCTCATCTGTATATATTCTTAAAAGGAAACTTCTGGGACAAAGATAAACAAATCTATAGAGTCAAAAGTTTATGAAATTAAAATAAAATATTATATGACTTAGAGATTAACGAAAAATATATTATATTAAAAAAAATAAAAATATTTACCTATTAAAATGAATTGAGATACACTTCTATCTTAAATTAATTTCTTTTTTTATACAAATGAACAAATATCGAAAAATTTTTCAAGATGCTCGTACTATTTTAATTTCATCAAACTCGCATAATATTATCACGTCAATGTTATGTCATGGAACGTGCCCGATGCCGTGGTCGTTTTGACTTCATTATACCAATAAAAGAATCGCACTATAATGTTCTCAATAAAAAATAATGAATTCCAGCAAATTCCATCACAAAACATTAATCGACGTCCCTTCCTTCATATTTCTGACATTAAGCAAGCATAAATGCATTTTTCCCTAAGTCTTCTGTTTTCCATGCGTGATTTTTTACCAAATTCCTTGTTCAATTTGTTTGCAGTTTATATCCATCATTATTTCGTATCTTTTTTTTACCTTTGGATGTTTCAAATAAAAATAAATATTCTAAATTAATACATATATTTTTTTTAAATAAAAATATAATATTAAAAAGATTATTTTTTGTGAGACTTCATAGAAAAAAAACTTAATGTAGATTATTATAGACTTTAATTGAAATGCATGTATTAATTATAATTACCTTTGAAAAGGCAGTATAAAAAAAGATACGATTCACTAGATCAATTCTTGCAAATAAAATTGTTAGTTGCAATAAAATGGGCGACAGAATCGTGTAAATATATAATCTTCTTTTGATTCGATTGTATGTTTCCATTGGTAAATGCTCAGTAGCGTAATCCATTTTGATGTGCCTAACCTAAAGTAAAAAGAAATGAAATTCAATTTTAGTCGAATAAGAAATAGAATTTCACGAAATTGTTTTTGATTAAATTACTCGTTATAATGATTTAAATAGATTTTTTAATACTAAAAATTAAATATAAGTCAACTATATTTTGTCGTAAATAAACAGTAAAGTTACTTGACAGTTACTTGAATTACAAAAAATTACAGGATTATATCATAAATAAAAAAACATTATAAATCTTAAAATAATAAAACAAATATATTTAAATAAAATTCTGTCTTTGAACTTGCATTATTATTTATTCATCGAAGTATTAACCAATTGGACATTTCAATCACGAGTTATTTTGCATTTTAATTTCGACTTTAGTATAGAGGAAATGATATTACGCTTGAATTCTTTACGATTGTTACGTAATTGTCATTTTGCTTGTCCTTCATTGCAATTAAAGTGATATATGATCGAGTTCCTACTTTAAAAAATATTTTTGATCTATATCTTTCACTGATCGAATTTAAGAAATAATTTAACAAAATAATTATTAGGAAATAATTTATGTTAATAGCGATAGATGTAAATAACAATATAAGTAGACATGTTAAAAATACTAATTCAATATTCACCTTTTGCGATATCATTCTTTTTATAATAAATTTTGCAAATATATTATTATTGATTTTTATTTTCAGCTGAAATATTATTTATTAATATTTATACTAGTAAGTTGTTAATAGTAATAAGTTAATAAATAGTTTACTATAAATAAAATTTATAAATTATTAAATTTATTTGTATTTCTTATGCATCGAAAAAATTTTAAGTATTCATTTCATGAATATTAGAATTTTAATCGATTAATATTTTATTAGATTTAATTTAATATTTTTGTGCAATTGTTTGTCCAAATTTCCCCAACTTTTTAATAAAACATATTTATCCACTTAATTTCTTAATCATCTGATTGGAAATTTTACCATATTCTTATCTTATTACAAGTGAACAGCATTCTTCAATTAGTGTAATAATAAAAACAAAATCACAAATATCAAAAATACCGATTAATGTAAGAATATTATTAATAAATGATTCACTTTGTATTGACTTTCTAAATAGCTTCTTTCAATTAAATAAAGCAATTATTTTATCAGGGATTTCCAAAAATAATATCGATTTACATATCATCACAATATCAATCAATTATAACAATAAATGATTTAATTATTTTTTTGATTTTGTAAATTAATAATACTAGGAATTTCCAAAAAAAAGAATCGTATCACTTTTATATTTTATCTATCATTATTTTATGACATCATTTTATAAAATTGAAGTACTTACCAGAAACTTCAAAGATTTACATGACTTTCAATCGATCATATTGTGCTTTACTTTGATTCAAAAATATTTAAACTTTTCCCATTTTCATTATTTTTCGAATTATTCATTAATACTTGTTAAAATAAAATTTCCATGAATACATCGACTAGAGAGACGACAATCGACTTTAAAAATATGTAACATGAAACGTATTATTAATATGGCAATGTAATAATGTTTTTTTTATTCCAAAAAAAAATCGAAATACAAAACGAATCTAACGAATATATATATGTATATTTATTATATTTTATATTAAATATTAAATATAGAAATATGTATAAAATATATGTTTAACACAAAGAAATATACAAACCTTTAGTATCTCTTTTTCCTTTTTTTTTATATAAATTTAGATATCTTCGATCCATAGACTATCATAAGTATTTATTTTTGTAGTTACAATTTTTAAAGACAAGAAAAATAAATGAAATGGAAATAGGACAAAAATATTGAAATTAGCAGCATCTGCAAAATGTTGTAAATGAAATACATAAAGAAAAGATAGAAAATTATCAGACAAAGATAGATATAATATAAGAATTTGCCTATAGTGCCATCTCTTGAATACTAAAAATATTTCATATTTTAATATTTTTCAAAAGATGACGCTAATTATCAATTCTTACACTGTTTTATCCTATCTCTGCTATTTCCTTCTCTATGCTTTTATTGTTAGTGCATAACCATAAGATATGGGATTTCGAACGTGTATCATTTCTTTCTCTTTTCAAACTACAATGTGTCTTAATTTTTAATATAAAATATGTTATATTTTCGGCTTTATAATATATATCTTATCAATATATTTCCATTAATAATATTGCAATTTTAGTTTAAGCCAAATTGATGAACATTGAGAATAATAGTAAAACGTTAAATCTATTCTTTATTTTTATATAGTGCAACATCAAAAGTGAGGCTAAGATATATCGTTTTTCAAGTGAAGTTCGATCTAATTAATCATCTTTCTAATCATTGTTAATTGTTTAAATAATAATAAACATTCAATTGCTAGATTTTCAATCATAAATTACACGCAATTATGCAATATTTTATAAATTATTGTTGTGTGAAGTATTAATATCTATATTTTTTCTGTCATTATTATATACAAATTGTAAGTATTAAATTATAATAAACGAAAAGAAATTTTACGTTAGGACAAAGAAATATGATATTTATAAATATTACTATTTATTATTTGCAAAATTTTTTAAACAAATTTATAATAAAACTTGAATTATAAATGAGTTTTTAAAAATAAAATAGGAATACAAAAAACATTTTCATGATTCGATCAAAAATAGTTAAAGTTATAAATAATTCGAATTTCTAAAACTTTGTAATATTGTATATTAACTGAAAAAAAAATTATAAATGAAATATTGCATAATGTTGCATAATGTAATGTTTTATCGTAATAATTTAAGGCCTTATCAATTATTTGTATTTTATTTCGGATTTCATATAAAATTAGAAAATATTTATATGTATATTTTTTGCTATTGCTTATATGAAATATAAATATAAGAATCAAATTAAAAAACAAAGTAGCAATTAGATATAAGAAAAAGTGAAAATAGATTTTGTTCTGAAAAAAATCGAATATAAAAAAAACATTTGTAATGTTTTTCGATTTAAATTAAAATAAAGAAGAGACGAGTATCGAATTAAATAAATAAAATTAAAAATGAGGAAATAATATTTCTTGAAATTTTAAAATAGTTCAACATTCTATAAAGAATCTTGAAACTTCACTTTGCCATTGGCAAAATATATTCATTATACACAAAATTATAATCAATTTTATTTACTTAATAAATGTATAATAAAGATAAATAAAGCCTGGTATTCTAAAATGATTTTATTAACTCTTAACTTTACACATGTTTAATATGCAGTACTTGTCAGAAATATTTGTATATGCGTGTATCTGTGTATGTGTGTGTTAATCAACGTTCTTTTATTTATCGTTGACGATATCATTCGAAAAGATGACCGTTAACAAAATACGATATCTTTTCGATCGTAGAAATCGAAGGAAGGACATTTTTACCTGGCCAAGCTCCTATCCAGAATTCTGTTGAAACGAATAACGAACAAAAATAATTTTTGATAAGTATTATTCTTATGTATATACCTTTATGTATATAAGAAATTGTTTATACGTAATGTGATAATTTCTCCTTTCTCGTTTCTCTCTTTGAAGTGGAACTTTTTTGTTTATTCATGTCCTTTAGGAATCAATCGAATTCTACAATCTTTATTTTATTTCCTTGTCATAATTTTTTTCGTTTCTTCATTGTTGTTTCCTCATTGTCTTTTGTACAAAATACTTTCGAATCACCCTTCATCTTTGTTTTTCGTAGGACAAAAAAGAAACCGAATTTCTTAAAGTTTTCTAGATGACAATTGTTTTCTTATTTTCATTTTCATCAGACCTAACCTCTTTTTTTCTTTACATTTTTTCTTCTATTCTCCGTATTTTATAAATATCGTACATATTTATCATACATATTCGTCGTTTCTGTCACAGTAACACAATTGTAGCGCATGAAAATTACGCGATGATATGATTAAAAGCATGATATGAATTCTCTTGCTTATCGCAGGTCACAGATCAGAGATTCAGAAAGTTGTCTTTAAATGGTATTTCGCAATTGATTATACACGATTGATATATTCTCTTCCACGATTCGAGCTTCTTTTATTTTCATTTATTTTCTTTTCATTGTATATTTTTTTTCTCTTTTGTAAAAAAAGATTTCAATTTTTTTTTTTTTCTTTTTTTTAAAGATAGCTCGAGCATGGTTTGTCTCGTCGATCCATGACATTTTAATTTTCTTGAACAGTTGATACATTAAAACATGATACAAAAATAGAAAATACTCCCGAGATTTCTAATTGTGATATATCGCAACGAGTTTGTAATATCTTGTTCGTTTCATGAGAACGCAACGTTACTTCATGGAGTAAAATACCTATATCTATTCGATATTCTGCGATAAACAAGACACGATGAAAATGAATTCAAGAGATAGTCGCATGTTAATATACTTACATCTTCTACATTATAAAGATGTGAATTAATAGTATTATATATTATATTGTAATTTAGCTTGCATACGAAACATCCGTTTATCATTCTACATACACAATTATCATCATTCATACCAAGTTTTAATAGGAGTGACCCCAAATTTGTAGATTTATTAACTACCTATTCATTTTACGAAAAAGTGAATGAACGGAGCCTTCAAATTCGAGGTACGCGAAAGATATCATATTTTTTTCTTTTTCTTTTCTATTCCCTTTTTTCATCTTTTCTTTCGATTTCTCGCATTATTTCCTTCTTCTTTTAAAAAATATCAGGAAATTATCGAGGTATTGAAGAAACGGCAATGCGTACATACCCGTATCCCACGAAAAAAATTACAATTCATATTTTTTCTATTTTTTTTTTTTTTTAATTTATTCATTCATTGAAATTAGTTAGAATTCTTCTTTGCAACAGAGCAGTTTGATAGATTATAAAATTATTCTTATAAAAAAATGCGTATGCGCCGAAGGATGTACGGGTTTACGCCTGTTTGTATATGTTAAAAAGTAGGTCTTATTACTTTGTCCTTCTCTCCTTTTGTTTCATCTTATTTAATCCCATTTTTTTTTTTTTTTTGCTTTAATTAGTTAGTTTTTTTTGGCTTGGTAACTATATAAAATCTAAATTAAAATTAAGTTTTCAACAGATTTAGAATTATTAAAAGATAAAATTGTTTTTCAAGTTTTATAAAAAATAGAAACAAAGAACTTTAAATAATAGTCACGGAATATAGTTATAATTAAAAAAAAAAAAACAATTTCTTGTCAGATTGTGCGTAAAACGAGTAGAAAGCCCGTTGTTGCGAATAAAAATAAAATAAAATAAAAAAATAAAAAGAGCAAGACAATGTAAATGCTATATTATATGAGGTGGATCTGGCAGTGTTTTCGAACATTGATCTAAGTAACTGCAGCAGACTGTCTATCGAACGACAAATAGGTAATATACATATTTATATATATAATATATTTGTATATATTATCATTAATTTTTCTTTTATTTTGCATGGCCTACAGTGCCAATGGAAGCATTTTGCTGTCACTCTGCAATGGCATATCGCGCAAACAGATATACACGATTAAGTTACGTTTTTTTTTTTTTTTTTCTTTAAAAAAATCTTCACGTTTTACTAAGTTAATCGTTTAAGTCTGACAATCGATTGTCGGATGGGTCAGTTCAATAAAATCGTAGAATATTTGAAACTGATATTCGTTTCCTTTTCAATATTTCTTCCTCTTATAAAATGGATAGTATAAAAAAAAAAATCTTGAATTACTAGCAATAAAACTATCTCATCCGACGACGAATTATCATATTTCTTTTTTTTTTTATCTGGCAGCGTTATGCATTATAGGTACGTTGTAAGATTCGTTAAGTCGATAGTCTTTGATACTTGGAGACCGCATGTTTTTCTTTTTCTTTTTTTTTTTTTTTTAAACAATTGTGTTAAGTCATAGAACCATTATATGTATTTTCATCATTCACAGCAGGATACCCTTATTGCTTAAAAAATGGCACTGATATTACTGAAATATTTAACGAGTATCATTGCTGCATATACACATTGGTTCTTTTTCCTATCCTCATATTATCAAGTAAAATACATTTCGCCCTAAACGACTTGGCTGGTTCTACATGTTTCATAAACCTAAAACCTAAAATATCCGCTTACCCGGTCAGAGTAGTGAATCATTCTCTCTCTCCCTCTCTCTCTCTCTCTCTCTCTTTCTACAGTTTGAATTCGTTACGAAAGGCAACGCGTGATTTGTAATCCCATACACTCCCTAGAAAAAGTTTCCCGTGAAATTACAAGACGGTCGATAATGACAAAAGTACATTTGTTAAAATAAAAATAAAATGAAGAAGAAAAAGAAAAGAAATTTATGGATGATTTCCCTCTTATTTCTTTTCTTTCTCTTCCTTTAAATACCGCGGATAAATAGCGATAAATGAGTACATACATATATATATATATATATATATATATATNATATATATATATATATATATATATATATATATATGTAGATTATATAATAAAGTAAATAAAATGGGCGTGACTTTTGGTGTGAATTCTCATGAACAGATCTTTCATCTTCTCTTGTATCGTAATACCGATATATTATATATTGATATTGAATGCCGGGACGAACGAAAGCATTTTTTTTTTCTTTTTTTTTCTTTTTTACTTAAGATTGTTGTATACGTTCAGAGATCCGCAGTTGTCGATTTTACCGGCAAGCTGAGATTTTTTCTGATAGTTAGTTTGGTTTTGCGCGTGAATTGGGGAGTCTCCGAGCATCGCTAACATATATTTGCGCGTAGGCGAATGAACCGTATTTTGTTAGGGAGGTACGTATGGAGGTGGTTTTCTGTACGTAGGAGTGGGTTTAGGACGATTCTGACGGTTAGTGTCGCGGTTCGTGGCGAATGGTGGAGGTGGTTGGTACGGTTCTTCGGAATTCTCCTTTGGCAACATTGGTACATCTGCACCGTCTTCGGCTTTTTGATATTCGGGAGGTGGTAACGGTGGTTTCTCTTCTTTTAAAATGACAGGAGACTTGTTACCTATAATACATGAAAATATGATAAAAAAATATGATTGTTAAAAATATGACATATTCTTAATAGATGAAAATTTATAAAATATATACCTGGATCTGGTTTTTCATCCAATTCATCTTGGAAAATAACCGGTATTCCCTTGCTACGGAAACTTTGTCTTTCGTCATCTTGTTCGCTGACACTCATTTTCCCACTACGCCTTCGTCTATAAAACACGCATGCAATGATGCCTGCTAAAATGAGCATTATGGCGATTATTATAGCTGGTAGGACGAATGTGATAAGATAATCATCGTGGAACGCCCCAACTGAAGTGGAATCGTCCACTGGTGGAACATGATTGTCACGCGAATGAACATCTGTTAATTCGCCAAGACAAATGCCCATAGGAATCACAGTGATTTGTTTAACAGGGAATTTTAAACCCATGATCTCAAGGACTTCATCTGTAACGGATCGACGATCATTATCACTCTTAACAAGCACTGAACGCAATCTGCTAACTTCTTCATGCGCGCAATACGAGGTAGGCAAAGTTCTGTTGTGCCACGTGATTACTGTGCTACCATTTGATATGCTATGCAATGAGATTGCATTAGTATCTTTATCTTGGTACAAATCACGTAACTTTTCAATAAAATTGCGCTTTTGAAGAGCAGAATGTGCAAATGATTCATATGGGATATCCAATGTCATGGAAAATTCTACTGTGTGTTGCATAAAAGGAGCAGAATGAACCACAACCACTAGGCCATCGGTGGCGCTTGCACCTATAACAAATAGAATAAAATGTTACAAAAAATATTCATTTGTTATATATAAAAGATAGATATAGTCAATTCTGATACATTACCTTCTTTGTCAGTAACTACTAATTGATATTCTTTACGTCCAACGTCACTACGCATTGGTACTCCATAAAATTCTTGATTTTTACTATCGAATTGCAACCACTCGTATGGCGGAATAGGTTTGCGTTCAATAGTTAGAAGAGACATTTTCATGTTTCTTGCGGAACCATCTTCTGCATCGTAAAAAGTATCCTAGAGTAAAAATTTATATAAAAAATCATTTATATCAAAGTGTATATTATGTAATGGGCTTTTTTTATATAATAATGAAATATGATGTAATACCTCTGGTACTTTAAATACAAGTAATTGACCAACAGTGGCATTGACAAGATCCACTTGATTTCTTGGTAGTGGCGGGAAATTTGATTTAGGCTCCTGCGTGGAAACTTTTGGCACTTCTGGACGGGTCATATCTTCGCATTGCCCAATGCCTTGATAAACTACTCGTTTTACTCTAATTTCAGGAAGAAGAACATTTCTCAGCGAAGAACTAGGATCACCATTTCTATCAATCAGAACCTAATCCACAAACATGGAATTAAATTTTTTATATTATCTAAAACAATAGCAAAATAATAACTATATTTACATGTAATAAATCGTTGATATAATCTTTAGGACAATCGCTGCTTCTAGGCAAACTATCATTGGTCCAAGTGAAAATCGCCTGATCGCGATCGATATCGACTGATCTAACAGTAATATGTCTGGTATCGCTATCTTCATATAATTCGGCTATACTTCGAATTACCTACAAACCAATAAGAATTGAATATATACTAATATAAGCTATATTATAAGAGATAAATACCTTTAGCTCCCAATCTACGTCTGTAGGAAATTCAGTTCGCTTATCGATCCTTAAATATATACTAAATTCATGATTTACAGTCCGACTAAGCTTGTGCTGCTGTACGTGAATATCAAGTCGATCTGTCACATTTAATCCCTCGCTATCGGCAGCTACCAATTCGTAGGTCCAGGTAGAAATATCGTTCTCTAGTGGCCTATGTAATAATAACTAATTATAAATTGCGAATTTTATTGCAACGAAATTATTATTGTTAATGACAATTCATTCACCAATATTATTTCTAACGAAATATTATTTCTTGGTGCTTACAATCCATAAACTTCCTGTGTTTTTTGATTAAACTGCAACCAGTGAGTGGATTTTAACGGTGCACCCTGTAGATATAAACTTAGTCTCAAATTCCTGGTATCTCCATCTTCTATATCGCTAAACGTATTGGCAGGTATGACATAGCTTAACGGTTTTCCAGCTGTGACAGGTATTTTCTTCAATCTTCTATCTTGTTTAGGTACAAAGTTGTGAACTTCGTACTCGGTTTCCGTGATAACTCTAGCTGGTTCAGTAGCAGCGCTGGTCGGCGCTGGAGTGGTAGTGGTCGTGGTGGTGGTTGTACTGGCAGTGGTTGGAGCCATAGTGGTAGTAGTAGTGGTGGTGGTGGTGGTGGTTGTTGTGGTAGTTGGCGTTGTTCTCATCTGTGTCGTTATTATTGGTGTTGTAGTTGTAGTGTTATAGAATGTAACGTATGCTGTAGTTGTGGTTGTGATTGTAGTGTTCGCAGGTACTGTGACAGGTAACAGAGTACTGGATTGTTTCGTCGAGGTCATAGACGACTGTTCTGTCGGCTGGAGGCAGAAAGAAGATATTTTAATATTGTAAAAAAAAAAATTAATTATTTGTAAAGTCTCGATGCATGAAAGCATCGTGATTAAAAAATTGATAAGATCTTGAAAACTTGATCAGAAAATATTTGATCATGATATTTAGAAAATAGTACGAGAGAATCGTGCAAATTATCATTTTAAACATAATTTTCAAGTATGAAAGAAAGACAGAAATATTTGAAATAGTTTTTCAAGAAACAACGTTCCTTTTCTATGGTATTCATTACGGTTTGTATGAATTATTGTTGGTACATCCCACTTTAAAATGACTCGCATGTACATGACGCTATATTGAATTACACTTCTAAGTATAACTTTCTAATTATCATCTACGTAGTTCCATAACTAACGACAATGAGCAAAAGATATCCACACGATTCTTAACGCACGTTGCATCATTTAAAAAAGAGGAAGATGGCTTAGGTTTGGGATGTGATACAACGACCTATCGTTTGGCATACTAAAGCGACAGACTAACGTAAATCGATTCTATGCATAGCATGAACTATCGTGAACAAACGAAGCTTGAAGCATTGAAGCATTACCTCTTCCGTAGTGACATTAATGGTACCACTGGTCACATCCGTTTCCGTCCTTTCGACAACAACAGTGGTAGGGATGGTTCCAGTAGTGGTAGTGGTGGTAATGGTGCTAGAATGGGGTACAATTACCGAAGGGGGGATGGTGGTGAGTTCTGGTATAGTGACAGATGAGACATTTAAAGAATCAGTCTCCGTGTATCTGGTATTCTTCGTTGTCTCTTCGATCGTTATCTCCGATTTCTCCGGTGGCTCGGTCGATGGAACAATGATGGTCGGCATAATGGTTGCTGTTGTTGTATCTGCTATTGTTGTACTCGTTGTTGTGCTAGTAGTAGTACTAGTGGCCGTTGACGAGGGTGGTTGTTGAGTTGTTGTTGTTGTTGTTGTTGTTGTTGTCGAAGTAGTTGAGGTAGTCGTCGTGGTGGTGGTTGTTGGAGTTGTTGATGGTGGTGATGTAAGTTCAGTGGTTGTTGTCTGCGAAATCGTTAGTAGATGCGATGTACGGCACGAAAAACTTTGTTAGTTACATTATGAAGGGAGCGAAGAAGATGTAAATACAAAAAGTATAAAAGAGAGAAAAAAAAATATATGTATATATATATATATATATATATATATATAAAGTATATGCTCTTCTTTCTCTTTCTTTCTTTCACTCTCTCTCAGGCTTTCGTTTCTGGTTTCAACAGAGATACTTCGCATTACAGCGCTTTCTATACATCGATCGATACCGCCTAAACGGCATAGAAAATGGCATAAGTCGGCATTGAACACGCAGTACCCACAGCTATACTATAAGGTATTTTAAGCGCAACGATTCCCTTAAGCGATTGGCATGGCGAATGAAGGACAGAGACATAAGAATTTTCAACGAAAGCCAGTTATATAGCGATGTTCTTTTTGCTAATTTTCTTTTTCAAATATTTTTTCTTGATTTAGAAAAAAGAGAATCGGTGACGACTTCATCACACGACTCGATTAATTTCGATCTTATACTTACAGTTGACATGGCGTCTGTAGTGGTTCTGTTCAATACACTCTCTATTATGTCTGGATGAGTGTCGGGTATTATAAGATCATCGTTATCATCTTCGGTCTAAGATATAAATAAACTTTGTTAAAATGGAATAAAGTAATTTCGATTATTCGCTCGTATAAATTCGTATAAATAAATCTTACGTTCCAATCGATAGGTTCCTCCCCATGGTGATGCCTGTGAGGATGTTCCGGGGCAAGATTTTCCCTAGGATTAGTTTCGGGCATGAACGTTGGCTGTACTTGCGAGTCATCCCCATCCTCGCCGTCCTCTCCATCCTCACCATCCTCGCCATCCTCGCCATCTTCACCATCGTATTCAATATCATAATCGTAACTGTCGTAATCCGGATTACTATAATGTCCGGAACCGCTCTCTCTTCTGCTTCTTAGTAACAGGCTCGATTCCGTTTTAACGCGCCATAATAGGACCGGAAGTTGCATTACTTCCGCCAGAGTGCCATCCTTCGCTTGTTCTCGCAGATGTTTCACCAAATCTGTCTGGTGTCTCCATAAATGACCGTCACAACCGACCTTTGTAATTCAAATATACAGAATGGTTATTTTAATTGGTAATTAAAATCTCTTTAAAAAGGAAAAATAGGCGAGGCGTGAAGATTAAAAATTGTCGAATAATAAAAGAGAGATGATTAATAAAAATTAATTATAAAAATCTTACCTGCCATTGGACTGCCGTGAGATGTTTCTCTTTCCGATGTTTCACGTTTCCAGGCCCGCTAAGGATCACCGTGGAATCAGCGTTGAAATTCTCTTTGGCGTTTTGCGGATGCATCGAAAATGCGCTCTGAAATTCGAATCCAATGTGAATCGAATGATGAATAAAGAAGGGGAATTTACGCGAACAGTAAACAAGAAATTGCAAAAAGCAGGTAATAAAGGAAATACTTATTCATAGATCTTGATTTCGAATAAAAATGGATTTTTAATCGTTTCTCTTTGAGGGGAAAAAAATTCCGTGACGCAATTAAGTCACCTTCAATGGGAGATAATTCAATTCAATGTAATCGAATTGATTATTCCGATGAAATGGATTCCATGCAATGAATTCGATAAGAATAGGATTACGTCTCTTCTTTGCTAATACATTTGAATATATAAATCTTAAAACTTGAAGAAATTTAATAAATTTTTTTCAATTCTTCTATATTAAAATGAAAATCCTGATATAAAAACTAGAATCAAACAAGTACGAAATTTAAAAATTAACTTTCCGCAACTTCCTCGAAAAAAATCCCATCTTCATTCTTTTACTTCATCTAACTTCAATTTTTCAACGAGAAAAATCTTAAAGAAAAAAAAAGAAAAAAGAAAAAAGAAAAGGAAGAACTGAGAAGTTCACTCATCCAGGTGATATTGGACGAAATAAGAGAAAAGAAATCGGACAATGTCGCTTCTGAAATCCTACGAATAATAGTACACGGAAGAAATAAGGAAGAAAAATTCTGTGGCACGAAGGAAGAAGGTCTGGCTTTCGTATATACGTGTCTATGTATATAAAAGATATATAAAGAGTAACGCGTTCTTTTCCTTCCCGTCGCGATTAAATTAATTAAGTATTGCACAACTGCCGCGCGGAAAGAAAGAACGAAGGCGGGAAAGTTCAAAAGGCGTCCAATTTATGCTCGACGGAACCTCCTCTTTCTCTCTCTCTCTCTTGACGTGGATACTTTTTAAAAATTTACTTGAACATTTATTATGTCGGGACCGCGATGCATCTTCTACTCCACAACAGCGGAATAGCTTTGTAAAATTTTTCTAGTCGTAAAGAAAAACTCGTATTCGCACGATGAACTTTTCATCAAATATTCTTCGTGGAGGCGAGATGAAATTGGGACAACCTCCCTCGCAAAATTTCTCATATTTCTGCCCTCCCTATCCCGAATTTAAACTTTTTCTCAGTTTCGGTTTGTTAATGAACAAAATGCGAAAATCGTGACTCGAGTATTTCGTTTCGCGTGAAAATATTTTATCATTTCAGGAATTTTCTTTGTTCTTCTTTAAGGATGTTTAGAGATGTTTTTTTTTAAGAGAGAGAGAGAGAGAGAGAGAGAATTAGATTGTTATAGATTTTGTAATTTTTAATTAATTTTTCATAAGTTGTTTAGAATATTTAAAAATCTGGAACGATTTCAAACTTAGAAAAAGATTTGAAGTAAACAAAATTATTCTAAAGCTTAAGGTTATAAAATTTATAGTTGATTTCATTTGCTAGGTTTCGATTATGTTCAATAATAATGATGATGATAAAAAAGTATAATATGCACGTATTGTATATCACGTATCGTATGCTTCGATACTATAAAGTCAGCAATATCATTTGATTCAATGGAATTCAATTGACGTGAGCGAAAAAATAAGTTGAAACACTATCGACGACTGCTTTAAACTTTAGAATTTCGTTCAAAGAATTCGAATTTGTCGAAAAGTAAAATAACACAATTTTTTCCTAAATATTGAATTCACAACAATACTGAATTCTATACGATTTTATAAGAAGAAGAATAAGCAAATAAACAATTGGAAAAAATTATCACTCGTGACGAGCATCATAGTGCTGTAAAAAAATTTTAAACAGTCATTCATATATCTCTCAGATTTTAAATATCCCTTTAACAATCCTTTTACCCTCTAAAATATCTTCCATCCAAGAAATATTATACAACGTTCGTAGTACATCATGATAAATCTTCTCTATCTTCCAGTACATCTTATATCCTTTTCTCCAAAAAATACTCTAAACTTGTATCATTTACATCATCCTATCGATTTCTTTTCATCGTTGAAAAATTTTTTACAAATTTAGAAAGACTATAAATAATTTAAATCACACACCACTGTGATTCTCAGCTCATCGAGCTCATGCAACAGTACCACGTACCACGTGAAGTCCCAGAAATCCTGCGAGGTTCTCGATGGTGTTGACTCGCGTGACCGGCGTGAGGTTGTCGAACTTTGCGTCCAACAGTATCGTCAGCAACGTCTGTTCCTCCCCTTCGTTGCAGTGTGTCTAAAATCAGAAGCGTCCTATTTCAGTTGGTTGGCTCGGGCCGAAACGAACGGTGTCAGTGTGCGAAACACGAGGAATTAAGGCCGTCCACCGACGAGGATCCGAACAATACCATTCGTGGCGATGCGCAATACGGTCGGCTATCAATTGGCATCAATCAGCATCGTCTACCAGGCTAATTTCTGGCGGAAAGATTTAACCGATGTGTTATACGCCGATGCAATCGTGCCGCGCAATCTTTCCACGATGCACGCGATTCGAATAAATTTTTCTTTACAGGATCTATTCTTTTTCTTCTTTTTCATTTTTTTCCCTTTTTCATTCGATCTTATCATTCTTTTGTTGAAAGTTGTACGTATCTGAGGTGATAGATAAGCATTAAAAATTGCATCGCATAATTTAATCCAGTTAACGTTTTTCCATTTTCCAATTAATTGTATTTTCTTATCGTTTCGATCAAACAATTTCAAAGGTTCGAGAGAAGATATGAGAAGATCGTTCTTCCTGCGACAAGTTTAAATTATTTTCTTTATTAATTCTAAACGCATTTCGAATTTTCGAAGCGCATAGCGTAAAGAATCGTAAAGAGCGTAAAAATCAATGTAATATTCCGAGCTGACGTTGAATTTACTTGGATAAAAAAAAAAATTTCCACTTTGCAATCGTTTCGCACTAGTCTTTGAAAAAAAGAAACGAGATTTCGTAGGCGAAAAAAACGACGAATCAAATTGCCCGAGTTGACGTAACACGAATCCAGTGACGAATATAATCGAATTTCTCTCCGTTTAATCGATCGAGCACGGCGAAACGGAGCGGCGCGGCGCGTTTCAAAAATGGCGTTGACCGATTCAGAGGTTAGGTTCCGCTCGTGGCGGAAGGATAAACGCGATAATTCGTCCAACGAGCGATTTAACGAGCGCGGGATTCGGGCCAATTAATTATCGAGCTGGCGAAAATCGGGCGGATCCGATTAAAACGATCAACGTGTCGCGCAAAAGTCAATCCCCTCCGGTATGCTTGTTGCCCTCGATCGGCGAAACCGATTAACGTGCTAATTGATTTACCGCTTCATTAACAGCTTCGGCTGGATCCACCGAGTTTAGCATCAAACCGATCGGTCATCGATTCAATGATCGCAATTATTCGCGAAGAATGAAAAGACCCTAAAAAGTTTCCTTTTTTTTAAAATATTTTTCATTACTGGAAAGAGAATATATCTAGACAGCGAAGAAAAATTTTATCTTTTTCTAGATAGATTCTTTGGTGTTATTTTATTAATATAAATTCGAATACTGTTTTTCTCTTGCTTGCAAATTTCCTACCCGAAGATAAAGATAAATCACCGTTTCCAAATAGAATTACTCGTCGTAGACGGCCAACAGGTTGCAAGTTCTCACGATTAATTCTCTGCAATGGCAGGGATACCTGTTGTAGGAGTTCAGGAGTTAGTTGAATCGTTGCCAATCGAGCGCCTATCACCGTTAACGATAAGCCTGGCAAAGGTGCAAGAGAAGATTTTTCGATCGGACGAAGTTAGCCCGAGGAAAACTCACCTTTCCGTCCCTGTGCTTCAATTCCTCGTGCTTCTCGGGGACCACTTGCACGACGAACAGGTCCTTCGTAGTGGCGACGTCGTCCTTCGGCACCACTTTCACGCTCAGCCGACGGCTCCCCACGTCCTTCTTCGTCGGGACGCCCATCAGGGTCGACGCCGCGTCGTCCCAGTACAGCCATCGAAGTAGCTTGTTCCCGCTCGTGTCGAACAACTGGTTTTCCAACATACGTTACATATAGATCGAACGTGAGAACCATGAACTTTCGATAGAATTATTATTACACGCGTAATTCCATTCCATTCGAATTAAATTTCACGGATAATTGGAGATAATTCCTTTTGATTCACTGTGAATTTCTACTAGCAGAGCGAGATAAATTGTCGACGATCAGACGGAAACTTTTTCTTGGTTGGGATATTAAATAACTACGATTACGTTTGACGAAATTAATAAAATTATGTAACTCGAATTCGAATTAAGTAAATTTAATTTGGTTTAGATTCAATTATTTCCTTGTTATCGAACATGAATTTAATTTTACTTACTAGAATTTATAATTCAGTTGTTGTAAATTTATTTATTTATTTATTTATTTTTTTTTTTGATTCGATAAGTAGAAATTAAATAAATGTACTTCATAAGTTTAATTTAGAATCATTTCGTTCATTTCGTGTAATACAGAAATATAATTTTTCTTTATTTCTGTTTCAATTAACAGACACGAAAACAGAATTTATTTTGAAACAATCTCTGCTAAAAACAATCTCTACATTACTCTTGGAAATACCAATGTGTAAAACAAATATGATTACGTAACGTATTTGCATGAATCGTCGAAACGATTGCTCAAAATTGCTGGCACAAGAACAAATACAATTCACGAAGCATGCGTATTAAAAATAAAATTGGGAAAAAATTGTAAAAATAAGAAAAAAAAAAAAGAAAAATATTTTCGAATTCTTCTATTTAGATGAAACACGAGACGAGACATTCTCTCAACGCTGGATTTATCCATCGTTGCAATTTTAACCCTGTGAAATTTCATCGTTGCTTCTCCAAACAACATTGGGAACAAAAACAAGGCGATCTTTCATCTCAGACGCAATTTTTATATCCGTCGATGCCATTTTTCCTTCGAAACGCGCTGCTCGTTTTTTTTTTTTTATCGTGGAAAATAAAATGGCTATTGACGATCTACTAAACGAGAAGAGGATATAACCGCTGTGGTGCCGATTACATTCGGATTATCGAACTTTTATTGAGCATCGTCGATTCTTTTTTTTTTTTTTTTTTTTTTTTTGATAGCCACCAATATCGAACACGTGTGGAGTTGGATATCGATTGAAAATAAATTCCAAATCTGTCGTCACATTTGTATCGAGTTTAGCACGAAAAATTTCGTTCCTATTACCACTCGACTGCGATTGTTACGCTAAATTTGCGGATTTCCGTGCGTAGAATTCCGTATAATCCGCAATTTTATTCAATTCAATCCATATCATTTCAAATTTATTATATTTTATATATATGTAATAGGTTTTTTTCGAATTGTGAAATGTATTATTTTCTTTCAGAACGATGGAAATTTTCTTTTTTCTCTCTTCGTTTTATATTTTATTATATTTTTGTGTGTCATCAATTCTATTGGCCATGATTCTTTTGATGTCAAAATTTTTTTACTACCATCAATTCTCTTCCTTTGACACGTTTACAGTGCTCTTTTTCATGTCCTTAGAACGTTTTATGCTAAGTAAAACATCTCTTTTTCCGAAGATCTTGCGTTTATTTATCATTATTGAAATTCTTTCTTTCTTTGCGTTATTTATATTCCTTTTTATTATATTTTATTGAATAATTTCGAGAAGACAAAGATTAACGAATATACTTTGACCTTGCTCCATTTATCGAAGTAAATAAAAATGCTAATTTACAATCTTTCTTTATCATGAAAATTTATTACATTACACAGGCAAAATGCAAATTCTGATCTTCCTCTAATTCAAACTAAAAAAAATAAATATCCGTTCTATGAACACAATACTTTTACTGCAATAATCAAATTTTAACTATACATATATACACTTTTAATAAAAAAATTAGATATCTAAACAAATTACAAGGAGACACTTGTCTTAAACAATGTACGAAATCTACGATCAAAGTTTGCAACCAAATTAGTAAACCAAGTTCTTGTAAGCGAATTTCCTATCGCCAAATTGAATCAGGAATATAGATTCCTGGCGATGTTGGCACGATCGAGAAAAGGAAATGCACAAGGATCAAGGCGATATTGGCTATAGTCCAGAATCTACCAGAAACATAATTTCGAAATTCTACCATCCCTTCTCGTTCGACAAATTGAAGGACTATTCGTTGCCCCAACATTCAATTACATCAAACACGTTTTTATCTTATAATTGTGACTACAACTCGAGTATACTTTCGAATTTCTTTTTTTTTTTTTTTTTTTTTTTTAACAATTTCAACGTCAATACGTGTTTATCAATTTTATAATTTCATACAAACCACCACTTTTAGAATTTGATTTATATTATATCGATCCAACTCTTTACTTATTTGTTCAGCAAATATTTATCGACCAAAAGTTAACAGAAAATTTTCCTATTAAATCCTATTCCACTTAAATCACACTCCTTGACAAGAGCCTATTACTCCAACCTGCGTTTCTCAGAATATAAACTCTTCTCTTTCGCCCACGTTTCGCTTCTGATTCGCGAAAACAATCCATAGCTACCATAGCTGACGAAAGCCAAGCATTAACCACCCACAAACTGTTGCGGCATCATCCCGAGGATGATGTCACTGTTTGATATCCCCGTTTAATAAATGCATCTCCTTGTTAAAATGGGTCACGATAGGCACAGATAAAGACCAGAATAAACCGTGCAGACGTTTCAAGTACGTGCTACGTTTTAACACCGGTTTCAACGACAAACAAACTATTATCTACTCTCTTCGAAATTCCTTGACAAAATCAACTATTCCTCGAAATAAAGTCCTTTCCTCGACTCGATTCAAAGAGATGAATCTGAAGCCAGCTGTTCCAAGTCGAAGAAGGGGAAAAAAAACTTGGTTTTCCGTTTTCCTCACCTCGTAGTAATCCTCGGGCCCCGTGAACGCTTCCTTGTGGACACGAAGCTTAAGCACGTGGCCAACTGGCACCACGACGTGGGGCACGTTGTTCACCTTGTCGAATTGGTGCCTCTTAATCTCGTGGGGATACTTCTGCTCGAACCAGTTGGCCTTGCGCTCGTCGTAACGACGACTGATCACCGTTGCTGCGGTGCTGGTCCCCTCTTCGCCGACGTCGTCGAACACCAGATCGTCCTCCTGCAGGGTGAGGCCCAGCACCCCGGGCGCAACGAGCAGGAAACACGCGAGGACGTAAGGATTCTTCATCTTGCGGGGGAGTTATCCTCGGTCGCTGTTATCATATCATGCTGAACTGCCTGGAATGCGAATGGAAAACATTCTTTTTAATTTTTCGTTCCATTTCTTTGTTCCTCGTTTTTCTTTTTCTTTTATGGGATAGAAGATTTGTGCGAAATGCGTGTTTGGGGAGATCAAATTGGGAGAGATATAGTTTAATTAGAATTTATTGGAAGTTTTGTAAAATTGTGTAATTTTAGAATTGGAAATTCTAAGATTTGCTATATGCTTATGCAAAGGTTTCGCGATTGGTGAGTCATCCATGATGATCTAAGGTTAAGATTAATGGGATATTCTATCGTGGATGCGTTTCTCGGATCTTCTTTGTTTCTTTTTCCTCCGACACATTTTGCACACGTGTATATTTATCCATATTCGTGATAATATTTACAAATTTTTCTTTCTTTTTCGTTTTTTCTCTTAAAAGAAATAATCAAAGCTAACGTGATATAAATCTTGCAAGAACAACAAATAAGGATTATCGAGGATGAAAAATTCTGAAAAAGCCGTGCAACACGATTATATCTTACTTATCAACATTAACATGTAACCACTGTTTACACTTTGTTTTTATCTTTATTGATTCGCAACCTGACGCACGAGCTGCTTAAATGCAAACTGATAAAGCGATGAAACGAATCACGAGTAAGGACGGTTTCAATGAATATCCCCACCTATTATGACAATGTAAAAATAGTAATGATAACAGTGTTCCGCTATGATCACATAGGATCACGTAGGAACTATGCGATAGTACCGATACCATTCCATGTTTGATTGATCGTTAAATATCGTCACGTGTTGTTAGATCATGGCGCAAAACAAATTCGCGTTCATCACGCGACGACTTTTATCGGGGGCGATCCGTCACATATTCGCTAATCGTTCGACAAAAATTCATATCGCATCGCAATTTCTACTAGAATTTCTATCAGACATTGATGTACAAAGATAATATATAAATATCTAAGTTTCTTTAAGATTGGCAAAAACTATTAAAGGCACGACCGATTTGTTTTAATTTCATGAAAAGAATATACGAAATGGTAAATTTTTTCTCAACGTGATTAATTTAAATTTAAATTAATCACGCGTTTTGAGAGAATTTTGGAATTCCGAATTTTCGATCGAAAAGCGTTTAATCGTCGATTCGTACAGGCTGCTGCGTTTTCCCCGGCGTTTCTCAGTAAGTCATTTTCTCGTTTCCATTGATCCAGTTCCCGTAAGCCCGTTTCCATCCATGGGTATTTAAACGAAACGAACAATGGGAACGTTTCGGTGAGCGAATGCGTCCAAGCATCCAAGGGCCAATGATAGCCAATAAAGCCTTCCATCGTATTTTTATTTCCTCCCTTGGTTGCCTCGCTTGGCCGTGCCATTAATTGGCGGAGCCAGACAATGAGAACTTCAACGGTTGAGCCGGCGCTACTCGAAATGCTTTTCACGAGGGGAGGGGGAGGGAGAAAAAAAACAGCCCGACCGATGGGATATTCGGCTACCGATCTTTCTCGATCGATGACGAGGGGGAGAAAAAGAAAGCTTTTGTCGAAAGTTATGAGTGATCGGTTGTTGATCGACGTCAACAACCGATCCTTATTCGTCTTGGATTATTCGTTCGGTATATGTTATGATGGATATTCATCGATTAACTTTATCGATTTCTTTCTCTCATATTTTTTTTTTTTTTAACACGATAAATCAATACACTCTTCTGCAATTTCTCATTGAAAAAGTAGCAAGGAAAATGTCTAATTCTTTGCAGTTTTTTCTTTTTTTTTTTTTATTATTATGATATAAAGAAGAAAGTTTTGTATTTAAATGAATTTTGATAAAAATACATCGACACGGATGGTTCATCGATTGTAAAAATAGAATTGAATCGTGACTCACGTATCGTATAAATATATATATATATATATATATATATATAAGAACGATCCATTACCAAATCGTTAAGCGAATGCAATCCTTGCGACTGTTTAATACGATGCGTCGCATTCAATCACAATGACATTGTGACTCACTTCGCTTGATTCGCCTTTAACCTCCCCCTCCCCACCCATGATAACGCGATTCACGGTAATTTCTAACAATACGGTATTGTAAAATAGCCATGACCCTCCTGCCTCTCCGATAAATTTATCATTGTCGTTTTTCGATATTTATGAAACGAAGAAGAATCGAAATCGACGACCCACATCGAATTTAACGAGCGGATAAATCAAACACCCAGTTACAATTATAAATTGTTATCGAGTCAATTAGAATTGACAAATTGACTTCAAACGTAATCCGATTTGGAAACTTCTCTTCTTTTTCATATTCACCTCTTCCTAAGTTTTGTTATCAATTCCAAATTAATATAGAAGAGGTGAGAATTAATTAATAATTTTAAAAAAGTTAATAGGTAAACAAAATTTTAATTCAACTTTACGAAACGTATTTCCAATTTTTAGCTAACAAAATTTTCCAATGCAATTTCTTCTTCGCATATCCAAATTTCATGGAACGTGATATTTTCAAATTTTCGTATAACTTTCTAACGCAACTTTTTTTTTTTTTTTTTTTTGAATATCCAATTTCCATGAAATATACCGAATTTCCCAACTAGCACAACTTTTTAATACCATTTTTTCAGCGAATATTCAAATTTCATGGAACGCATATTACTTCCAAATTTTTTATCCAAACTTTCTAATACAACTTTTCCTTTGAAGTTATCCAACTTTTTTTACAACATTTCCAAATTTTTTTGGCCAGTACAATTTTCTAATACAATATTTTTTTTTCTTTTTTTTTTTTTTATATAGCATATCGAATTTTTCGTGTATAACTTTTTTTCAATTTTGCACGAAACATATAGAGATTCAATTTATAAATTTCCAAGATTGAAACGTCACTATATTAATTTCGTTTCCTAAATTCTTCATATCGAATTATACATCTATTGTCAACAGATGAAAAAAGCGCGATAACGAACGCGTTTCTAAATGGGCGAAAATGGTATACTACGCACGAGTATAAATTATACACGTCTTTACCAAGAGCGTCAGAATCCTAAATGGGAGCTCGGTTAAGCGGAGTTATAAATCGAGTTGCACGTTAATCGAAAGGAGGGCGATGCAATTTACTTGGCTGGTTCTAGGAAACGCTGAAGACGGCCAACCAACGTTACCAGAAGGTTGTTTCGTAGGTGTAGTAACAATCATCGAGTTTGCATTTACATACCACTCGCTAGGGACTTTTATTACGTTACGTTTATACCCACCTCCGTATCCCTATGAAACAACGAAGGTGTACGAATCTAGCGTGCAACAAGTAGTGAAAAAAAAAAAAAAAAAAAAAGAATTGACGCTCTGAATTTTGATCGCGATAATAATCTACAAATATTATACAAATTCAATTCTTATCGCGAGTTTGATAATACGAATTCCAACTTGAATTCACAGCGAGGAAGAGAAGATATACGATTAACTGTGGACGGGATTGAATGCGTTTTGAGAGTGTATTTGCGTAGAGCTTGTGCGGATTCAAGTGGAGGAGACTTGAAAATGGAAGAGAGAGCGTGCAGATGTTTGGATACGTTTTATGAAAGATGCATGCATAGATTTCAGAATTGTTGAATCTTGATGGATGATTCTTATTAACAGACAAAAGTGTTGTATCGCGTTAATTTTTTTTATAATCAAGTGTAATTTGTTCACAATTACATAAAATTTGAAAAAATTCTGGAATACATTTCAATGCATCTACGTAAAATAATATTCAAAATAAAAATTTGTAAAAAAAAAAAAAAAATTCTCCAATTTTGTCTACAGACTCGATACTATAATTTCTTTTATAATATAAAGAATTACAGTTAATTAACGTGCAATTATCGAATAATACAAAGAATTACAGTTAATTATCGAAAATTTGTTAAAGAAAGAATAATAAAAATTCCTGCAATTCCCATCGACAATATATATAGCGTAATTATCTTAGATATTTAAAAACCGTAGAAAATAAAGAAAAAAAAAATTGCGATAATTTACAAAAGTATATTATCGAGAAAAAATATTTTCGCAGACTCGATTCATACTCCTCGAACGTTAAAAGTGCAAGTGGAAGTAATAGAGAGACGATTGTTGTATCCGAGGAGCACACAAGTATTGTCAGCGGAGCTGCTTATTTCAGAACGCGATTCACTTTGATTCACCGGCGACAAGAACGTGGTTGGAGTATGATGCCATTCAACACCCCTATTGTTCCACTCTCAAAGGTTACGCGGATTGATCGAGCAACGCGGATTTCCTCGAAGGAATCGGCCGATGGGAAATGCATCTCACGAGACAAGAAACTGGGGACTAATTAACCCTCATCGATTCTATCTTCTAATTCGACGATCAATTCTCCCCGTTCGACGAAACAAATTTAATCCGAGATTAAATATCATCGAGATATAATTTAACAGCTTCAATGAATCGAAATAAGAAAATCTAATAATTCTTCGACACGACAAAATATATTATAAATCTCTTTCGTCAAATCTCAATCTCTTTCTATTAAAATTCACACGGTAAGAAATCGCATATGGCTGTCCAAATACCGGTATCAACTTTTTCATATAAACCTTCATCCATCTTAATCCAAAATCAGAAACGTGACGCAACGTGTCGCGAGGCGTTATTCCAATATAAATTCAACGGCATGGTCGTTCCATGGCAGGGGGTTCGCGATGAAAAATCGCGGGGAAAAGGGGAGAAAATGGACGATCGAGTCGCGTAGCGCTTTACTACACCGTGTCAAGAACCTCGCGGCGCTGCCTGGCAAACGAGAGTTTATCGGGGCGTGTTTCGCGCCAGGTGCACGCGTGTAAAATTGGTGCCGTACAATTGCATATTCGGTCGGATATTCGTTGAAGACCGGAAACGCGCCAAGGCTGCTGACTCGGTCGATAAAATCGACGCTCGAAGAATTCTCTTACGATCGAAGAAACACTCGGCTCTAAGTTTAGGGATATCACCGGTGGATATCCGGT